TTCTCGGCGTAATATGTTCTTTGGTATTCTCCTCCTCTTTTGGCCTTGAGAACTAACTACTGCACCAGTCATGATAGTGTGTCGAATTTGGCAACGGTTAAGCATTCGTAATATATATATATCACAACCACCTCCGTCGATAAAGATTTACCACTTCGTCAACTAATTCCTCATCTTTGCCTAACACCCTATGGCTAACGATAATACGGCTTACTCGATCGCTCGTTGAAACTCAAGCAATACTTTGAAGAAACCTATGATCAAAATTCGGTAAATTGAATATGTCTTCTACTTCCGTAGACCATGTTTCACATCCACAGAGCAATACAGATGGATTACTGCACAGTAAACTTGTCCGTTGTTTAACAAACGGACCACTCGTCTACGCCAAAAGTTGGTAGACGTCAAGCAAGATTTCCGCATCTGTATGAAGATTTCGTCTAAAACCAATTCACTGGGGTTGATTTGGTTGGGAAGATTAAATTTTTAGCTATCCATGTTGAACAAATATGAATGTACAGTGCTTAAAAGATTCCTGAATCTATACCAAACCGGTGTAACGTGCATTGAAGATATGTACAAAGATATCGTCTGGTGATACCAATATTTTTATATAAATAAGTATACTTATATATGTAGCAAAGATATTATAATGACTTGTGTGTGAAAGTCTATCTGTCTTCTACCCAGGATGAATTATTTAAATTGTATGTGGATAAATGTCCTTAATTTCACATACTGTATACTTAACAGTTAGTGATCATATCGTACTAAAGAGTAACTAGATTTAATTGCTACAATATTATCTTCTGAGTATCAAATTGACCTTAATTTCTTATTAAAGCATCGAAATGCATGAGTGTAGGTGATAAATTTTTGATGGGGTAATAAATAATTTTGGAGTATAAGGTTAGCCCGCATATCTTCATTATCATTTGTTTGTAACATTTCGTATTATTGCCACATAAATTTATTGAAAACAAATAAATAAACAGTACAAAATTCCTTAGCGCTAAATATTATTTTTTTTCATAGTTGAACCATCCTAGTCAATTACACACAGCGGTAATAACAACTTACCTAATTGTTCGAAAATTAATTAATGAAAACAAAGTTCGATATAATTTACTTATATTTTTGTAAAAAGAAAATAAGTCAATAATTTGTAGTGATTAGTGAAACACGCTTTTACTTTAATTTTTATCATTAAAAATATCCAATAGTTTGTATGATAAATAAAGACTGACAATTTTAGTGAATTTTAGAGATAAAATAACTATAGATTTTGACTGATTTAGAACTAACTATTGAAGAAATAACAAAATTCTTGTTAAGGATAATAAGTGACAAAAATGAAAAATAATCTTAACAGATAGAATCTATTCATGTTGTTTCTACTTTTTTTGAAAATCAAACATACTCCTATTTAAGTTGGGCCTATATCCTGTTTCTACTAAAAATGTTAAATTTAATGTTAATTATCAAATAAATGATATCTTAAATATATACTATATTTTGACGATTTTTCTACCATCTCGATAACTCAAAATCATTTATTTTATAATTTTATGGTTTAGTGGTTAGAATATTGTGACATGATTTGACTATATATTTCATTAACCCTTTATATGGTCCTAAATCTGACTCCTATCTGGATCAACGTATGAACATGGTATAAATATAAATCTTTCATTTGAGTCCGGATATTATCTAGGCTAACCCCGTTTGTATGACGGTGGTAATAAGAAGTCAAATACAGGTGGTGTTGGGGGAATTTATTCCAGGCATTTGTTTATCCAGATAGAGATCCAGAATAAGTGGCTAAGTGAAGAGGAAAGAGAGAAACGAAAAGAAATGACGCACAATAGGGAAGGCGTGTGAGCCAACTCTAACTAAGCGCGACTCAATAATTATAGTCAGACAAAAATATGTCACAGATATGTGGTGATTAGGGTAAGGCATTAACTCACACGCTCATATAAAAAGTCAAGGTTAGTAAGTGAATAATTGACAAGGCCAAACTATGACGCAAGAAGAATGAATAAATTGGTTTGTCTGGAATAACCTATGCGGACTTGACATAGTACCAACCACTCCACTTTGAATAAATAATCATTGTGAGAACGTGGTTACACTATTCATCATAATAACTAATTTTTAAACGCATAAATATTTGGAATGTGAATAGATAGGATGTACCTAGAATTAGCGGTTATACGTTTCACTAGTGAAAACAATCAAACGGAAAAGTCAATATCATTACAAGCTAAGTCTGATCACAGAATCATTTTGCTTTAGAGCGTAATCTTTTGGCAAGCTAGTCTTCGAAACCACCCAAACTCAAAATTACAAAACCTAGTGGAATTATTCAAGTCTATAATTTTCTAGTCAGGTTCATAACTAATACCTGACTACATCAGTTCTCACTGACTCATAAATAACTGTTTCTAATGACTTGATGTTATTGTGAAAACACAAATGGCTTTCCTGACTCGTAACCATAAGAAAATACTTCTACAAACCCAAAATAAACTACACTACGATTCCCGCCCTCACAATGATTTTGGACCATGCTTTCACAGGATCGAAAACCCCATTTTGACGATATTTCGAGTTGCCTTGTAATAAAAAACAATACGCCACACTGTCAACAGAAAATACAATAATCCCTTCTCCAAAATAATTACTGGATATCAGAATGAAATAACAAATAAATTTTTTCTGTGAGTTGACACAATTTACAAATCACATTATCGTGTGAGATCAGACACAATAAAATTCAGCTTATAAGATGTGTGAACACATGCCTGAATGATACGCTAATAAATGTCATCATGCAATACATTTGTAATTTAATGCTTCTTTATGAAGACATTTGATTTTCAAAATCAGGAATATTCCGCACGTCATTTAGTTTGTCGTGTAATTTATTGACGGTAAGTTGAGAAACTTTATTCTCATTAAAAGAGCATGATACTAATTAGAAATAGTAGATCCTTCACTAAAATTATTATTTTCAACAACAAAATAAATTATCGCTAATTATATTAACTATTAGGAATCCTATAGATCGGTATCATATCAATGGACTTTTAAGCTGACATTCTCACCTCAGTGTTTTGATTAAAGGTAGATTACATAATGTGAATTAAGTAGTTCGCTTTCCAAACTAATTATCAAGATGACGTTTTTTAAGTAACTTTTACCTGGTTGAGTTATTCTAATCATTAACTGTTGATTTTTCACATTTTCTAATTTTATACAATTATAAACAGTTTAACTCACGAATCGATCTAAGGTAGACCACCATTGGAAACTTGGGAGTACTGAACGACCGTTTCGTCCTAGGATGGGACTCCTCAACGGTGCACGTTCACGACCTTAGGTCTCGCGCGCGAGTCCCATATTAGGATGAAGCAGCCATCCAGTGCTTCCAGGTTTTCAATGGTGGTTTAGCTTAGATTGACTTGTGAATTCAACTGTTAAAATCCTACATTCTCCAGAAATCCCCATGCTAACAATTATAAACACTATTAACCAGACAAAAGTCGAAATGGTTATTAAACTTTTCGAATAAATACTTACTAACAAATGTTAAATACTTGTGTCTGCCACCGTTAACAAATATTTTTACTTTTTATGAATAATCCTTCATTTATCTTAAGGCTGGAATGGATGAAAATACAGCTGAATATGAGGCGACGCTTCTGAGACTTGAAGAAGAGCAGCAAAGGTATGTTACCATTATACATGATTGAATGCACAAGTTACTATAGCCATGTTTGGGAACATAATATTTGTTTTTTTAGTTATTTCGATGATATAAATAAATGTGGTTTTTGAGTTTAAGCGTAATTAATTACTATGTTACACTCCATATCATCGTGAAAAAGTAATTTTCACTTGTCTCACATAAAATAGGCTCCCATTTTTTGGCATTTATGTCATAACGCTTTATCTCAAGTACATTGAATCTAAAACGTTTACCACAAATTAATAAAAAATAACATAAAATTACTGAAGTTTTGCTTTTAAAATATTTTACTTACAATTATTACATCCATTTGATTGGATTCTCTTGTGTTCATATCACAGGGCTTCAACGCTTGCTGGTGTAAATAGCATGCTTCGGGAGCAATTAGATCAAGCCACACATGCAAACCAAACGCTTTCCTCCGATTTACAGCGTATTAAGGAGGAAGCATCTCGTTTACGAGATGTTCTTGAACGACGGGAAGCGGAATGGAGAAACGAAGAAGCTGCTTTCAACGATTATTTTACAATGGAACATGGGAGACTCCTTGCCCTCTGGAGAGCAGTCGTAGCCTGCCGTCGTCAGTTTGTTGAAGTTAGGGGTCAGGTAGAACGAGAAATCGGATCTGCTCGGGTGGAACTATCCAGAGTATCGAGGATATGTCAATCTGCTTGCGAAAATTTTGCTTCTAACTTACGCACAATGGAAGCTAGAAACATGGTAAGCTTTTCACTTTTGTTGGCTAACTGTTTTGGCTTTCTTTCGCAAGTAATCTGTTGCACACTGAGAAAAATTATGAAATATATTTGAAAACATCCACTATATAACTGTTATATTTTAAAAACAAATATATCAAGTAGAGGTTTACGAAATAGTGAAGCATTCCACTTTTTCTCAATTAACAGTCAGCTTGCTAAAGTTAGCGGAACATATCCATACACGTTACTTGTTTTTTGACCCGAACAAGAACATTTTTTGTGCCCTCATATTATTCGAACAAATAATAATTTCACTGACCATCAGTAAGCCTCAATCCTACTGCTATAAATTTTTCTGCATTTAAGTTTTATGTGTTCCAAAATCACAAATAAGAACTACTGTTTTAATTTTCTCAACTGATATGATTTCAGACACTGATATGTGGGCGAAAATGATAATGATTGGTTGTTTGCTTAGCCAGACTAGTAGATAGTCTGACAGGCGTTATAGACGAGTTATATATTCTCCTGTCCTTATTATTATTATTGACTGATTTCTGATTGCTGTTGGATTGTGTCGGCTTTTTGTCGGTTTTTGGTGTAGAAATATATTTATGATCTCAGATGACTTGAAGTACTGTAGAATAGGTACTGGGAGGGAATCCAGTGTAGATATCCGTCTAAGGTAAGTTAACGTCCCATTCGTGTAAACGTGGGAAACCGGGCGTTATAACAGATACTTATGACATAAATTTCTGTGTATTACTGTTTGCGCAAGCCGAAAACCACTGAAGAGTAGAAAGCTCTTGGTAAGTTTTTCATTTCTAGTAAAAACATTTTAATAGATGGTATACTTAAATGAAGCTCCTCCTGTGGTTCTTCTAGAGTTACTGCTGACCCCGAGTCCGGGTAAAGGTAGAGGGTTGGGATGGGGTCGGCACCCCATCCCGTAGTAAAAGGTCTTGCTAAAAAACGCCAACCAGATTAGACAAATCAAACCATTTAAGCTCTGCCCTGGAAGTTAAGGGAAAAATTTTGACAGTTCATTGTAAAAGCCGAGATTCTACGGAAGTCATGAGGCCGATGCTCCTTCTAACAACCAGAGCGACAATTTTTATAGATATATGGAATATCCAGACAATGTGGGAGGCCGGGAGGATCAGTCAAATAGCAACGGAAATGAAGAGATACAACTCGGCAGTACTCGGAATCGGCGAGACCCATACGACGCAAGCTGGGCAGAAAAGGCTAGATACAGGAGAGATGCTGCTATACTCCGGTCACAAAGAGGAAAATGCTCCACACACTCAGGGAGTTGCTCTGATGTTGTCCAAAGAAGTACGAAATGCACTTACGGGATGGGAATTTCATGGATCGTGTATCATCAAAGCATCCTTTAAAACAAAGAAGAAGGGAATCACAATGTACGTTATCCAATATTATGCACCCACAAATGATGGAAACGACAACAATAAACATCAGTTCTACTCGAGGCTGCAATCAATCATAGCGAAGTGTTCAAGAAAGGATCTCACCATCCTGATGAGTGACCTAAACGCTAAAATTGATATGGACAGCACTTGATATAAAGATGTCATGGGACGACATGCAATGAGAGAATGGAACTAGAATAGCGAGAGATTTGAGCCTTCAACAAAATGGTTATAGGTGACACAAAAAATTCAGAAGGTCAGTGAAAGACGTGAAAACAAGCAGAGAAGCTGATATAGCTTCATATCACCACCTAGTAGTTGCCACGATGAAACCAAAGCCTAAGAAAAACTGGACAATCGGAAAAACACCATTACAAGGGTTCAATACAGCCTTCGTACGAGATACCAATAAATTCAACGAATTCAAGATAAATCTCAATAACAGGTTCCAAGCCTTACAGAACCTATTGAAAGAAGAAGAAAGTAAAACGGAGGACAACTGGAAAAGGACCTCCAATGCAGAGGTTTTCATAATCCAGTCAACCACCAGAAGAAAGAGGAAGGGTGACAGCAGGCAGCCTAATCTGACTACGGTCCTTACTTGGAATGCATCTGTCAGCTGTCTTCCATGCACGACTTTGCAGTATAGTCCGACATATGAATGCCGTATGGTGTTGACGATCTTCTCAGCTACTCATACCACAGTGTCTAAGAAGGTTCAATGAGGTTTTCCTATCCACACTGTTAAACGATTTCTCATAGTCAACAAAGTTGGTGTTTAATAACGAGTTCCATTCAACTGATTGTTCAGTAATTATCCGTAGTGTCACGGTTTGGTCTACGCACGACCGATACACACGGAATCCGGTCTGTTAATCTCGAAGCTGGTCGTCTACAGAATCTTTCATTCGGTTCAGCAATACTCTGTTGTTAACGTTTCTTAGTACCGATGATAGTGTGATGCCTGTGTAGTTCTTACACTTGCTCACATCTCCTTTCTTTTGTATCCTGATGAGATGTCCTTCTTTCCAGTCTGTCGACACTTGTTTTTCGATCCAAATCTTTCAGAAAAGAGCACGGAACATTAATGCAATTACCTCCATTCCTGGCTTTTGTGTTTTAGCCTGCATGTTTTTCGATCCTGCTGCTCTCTCACTCGATATGTTTTATGATAATGGTGATTTCTTCGGCTGTTGGTGGAATGACATCTTTAGGAAGGAATGTGTGTGTGTTTCTTTGATGTTCGATAAGTCCAGTGGAGCTGGCCTATTGAAGAGTTTCTCAAAAAGTTCTACTCACCTGTTTCTCTGTTCTTCAATCTCAGTGATTGGCTTTCTTTTTTATGTTTGACTAGTTGTTCTGTTTTACTCTATTTCTCTACTAGTTTTTTCGTTGTATCATATAGTTGTTTCATATGTCCTTCTCTGACAGCTTTTTGCACAGTCGTTGCTAGGTCTTTTACGTACATTCCCCCCCCCCAAAAAAACTGATTGAATGCAGTCCATAACACCCACAACCTTAATATTCAAATCTTTACAACGAAGTTATGATTGCTGTTAGCATTTGAAAAAAACAACATGTATATTTAAATCCCTTAAGTGAACGGTTTCGTATTCATTTATCATATCATGTTCATTATGACATTTTAGTTCATACGTACAATTGAAATCATGAAACCAATATAAAGCAGAAATAAATCAATAAAATTATAGTGTTATATGAATAAATTGCTGTCAGTATTTATGAAAATGAAATAAATGCTACTTCTAAAAGTTATTATCATTAGATAAAATATATAAAATTACTACCAAATAATGAAGAATATTGATTTAGTGTAACTTGATACGTAACTTTTTACATTAAAAGAAAAAACATCATTCACACAATAGAAACTATTTGTTTTGTTATATCCACTTGGATTTTATTTCCTTTAATGGATGTGACCGATAGATTAATTTTATCAACCAGCATTTAAAATATGTTACATTATAATTTCTTTCGAAAAACATTTCCCACTTTTATATACGTTTAAAAAAGCCGTTTAGAAATTTATTTATTTTTCCATTTTTCCATCGTGTAACATCAGAAAGGAATTGTGTTTAACTGCTGATTTTAATATGTTTCATTATATTCAGAAATAAATTTTAATGACTTTAATTATATGGGTATGTCTATACATTAATAATGTTTAACAGGTCACATTGGAACAGGAGAAAAATGAAAAGAAAAAATTGGAACATGAATTAGATGAATTAACTAGAAATTGTGAAAATGTAAGACAGCAAACAAATGGACAACTTGAACAAGCAAATCAAAAAATCACCAATTTAATTAATCAAATAGACGAATTAAACAAACAACTTTCTGATAAAGATAGAACAATTGATAGTTTACAACGACTACGTACTGGTCAAACTTTGTGTGGACGTAAAGGTTTGAACTTAAGAAGAAATTTCTTTATTTTGTTAGTTATTTACTATGAATTATACGTTAACTTAGAGCATACTTTAAGCAAATGAGTATATTTGGATTTTTCTGATGAGTTTTTACAATCAAGAAGTGTAATTCACTCAAAATATTGGAATTATTTTCATTAAGAGAATTATATATATATGAGTGAAAAGATAGTGATGATAATAATTATAACGAAGTCGTGGGATTGTACATATAGTTTGTTAGGAATTTTTTGTTTATTGGGTAGAATAACAAACATGAATCATTAATAACGGATGTAAATAATTTGTAAAAATTAAACTGACGTTAAAATTATAACTAAATATAAAGGTACAGATGAACGTCATTGTCATTGAAATCATGTACCGATTGGAGTTAGACAACCATCGAAAACCTAGAAGCACTGGACGGCTGTTTTGTCCTGGCGTGGGACTCCTTAGCATTACTGACATACACGAACCGACAGACCAAACTCTACCTTTGGACATTCGATGAGCGCTTAACCTTCAGACCACTGACTCGGGATCCATTAGTCTATAGTTCTAGTTGAAAAAGACAAGCATATGGTAAATTATCGAAAGAATGATGCATAGGTTTAGTCAAAAAATACTGCTGGTAATCGTCTCTATTAAACTTAGTGAATGAAGGTCTGCAAACTATGAAGACTTCGCTTACATTTGATTAATCAGTGGATAGTGACCAGTATCATGTGTGTCAGGTCCTCCTCTCAGCATATCGAGTTTTATCGACCAAATGGTAATGTAACCACTAGTTTAGGTGACTCGACAACGTGTGCATTGACACACGTGACATTGGCAACTACCCAGTGATCAATCGATTGTAAATGCATCTCAGTCCTACAGGAGGTCAATTGCGGCCCGTAAAGCTCAGTGGTAACATCTCTGACCGTGAGACTGGGTGATACGGGATCGAACAAGTCAGGGAGCATCAGTTCGCTTTAGATGCCAGGTTCGCCTTGCTGACGAGTGCCAAATAGCAACGTAAATGTTCGTGAATGCTTAGCTCTTTTCAATTTTTTCCTTCATCTTCTTCAGATGAGATAATATTGAACTTTTGATGCATATTTCTGTGTTGTAAATAAAACCTAATGGGAAATTACCATAAATACGTATTTGCTTAAATTGGTTTCCCAGTTTATCATGACGGAAATAATCAAGTTAAACACATGTTGATTAAAAATTAGTAAGCTTCATTGAATAAACCACTGATATGAATAGTATAAAAATATTTCCTCATGCCTGGTAGTTCAAGATGAACACTTTCGTATAGAACCATTCAGGTGACATGGATTCAAATCCTAAAAGGAACACCAGTCGCCTGAGGATTGCAGATGAGGATACTAAAGATTGCCAACTAATACGAAACATAGATCGAATTTTTCCTGATCATCGCCTACAAGCAACTAAAATGTAAGACTCAAATATATGCGTCAGTTACAAGACAGTTTCATTACCTGCTTATTACTTGTAAATTAGGTATAAAACTAAATATAATTATTTCTTAGTGTGTAAGGCGAAACATAAGATAGAAAGAAACAATCGCATTTTGAAATTAGGAAACATGAAATACCATTGAAGTGATAAAACTAATTTCTGATATCTCGAAACTTCATGAAAGCCACTTGTTTTGATTATAATTAACTTAAATAAATCAAAATACTTTTAAGTGTTTGAAATCTGCAGTCAGATTGCGCTTTTATCGAATGTTCTTTAATAGAATAGGTTGAAAAATTCTAATAGTAATTTTTGGACTACAAACATAATCAGTTGTCGAAAATACGACCGAAGCTCTAATTCTATTGTTCGTTTGATACAGAAATCAAGGGCTGTTCACATGGTTGCCCGAGGCTCCGGAGTTCTGGAAAATTATTTACATACTTTAAGTAGTTGATCAGACATATTAGGAAGGAATACAAATACATGAATAAATACTAATACATTACATAAAACTTATTTTTGTTCACTTAAGCCAGGTGTATTATGGAGTAGGAAGAAAAAATCTTCCAGTGTGACAAGTTTTTTCGTACTGCATGTTTATTAACAGAAAAATAGATTTTGTTTTCTTTACGCCGTACATATTTCAGATTAGTCTGTATAAATAATTATTCACCTTTCTGTTTACTTATAACACAAAATATTTAGTACTCCAGTGTACGAAATAATTTTTATTATAAGTAAGAAATATCCATCTATTCATGACCAGTATCACATATAATAAATGTTGTACATTTGTTCGTTCAGTAACTTACCGAAATTCATTCTTAACGCCATACCAAGTATAATTAGGATAAATAATTGACTCTGAAAGTAACCATAAACTCGCTTGTGTAAATAATGGTTTCTTTTTTACTTATATTTATTTTTATTTAAACTTTCCCTAAACTTTAAAACAGAAGGGGCAGATATCAATGATCCTTCTTCAAGAGCGCTTGTTGAGGAAACTCAAGCATTATACCAGACACTCAGAGAGATTTCTCAGTCTGTACTTAATGATGAAATCGTGCCATCTGAGCCCTTTGGTGGTGTTGAAAGTTGTTTTCATCAGTCGAGATCCCGTTCACCATGCTATGCTTCGAATCCAAAGATGATAACTAATAGTTTCCATAACTCAAGGGCAGGAGCGTATGGTCGCACCGGATCACCACCACCACCAGTTAACAGTACAAGTGCTTGTTATTGGGGTGATTCAGCATTATCTGCTGTTCAGGCTGCACTTCGTAAACGTGGACTCCAAGTTAGTTTATTTGATTGAATCTTTGATATCTAGCTTGATAATGGCACTTTAAAAACATTTTCGTCTTAATAGATCAAGAATCATTTTCGTGTGTTTAAAATGTGAAAACACACACTAGTAATAAGACTTTCAATCATTAGTGAAATAACTTCGCTCTTGAATCGTTTCATGAAAGTTCAAATTACACAAACTAAAATCTTAAAATAGAATTTGTTCACTATTTTAGGTTTCTGAATTAACGGCCAAGCTGAACAACACTAAAGATCAGTGTGACTCGGTTAAACACCAGTTAGACGATAGTGAAAATGAAAGAAGAAACTTAGAACGTCAACTAATGAATATGCGTGCAGAACTGGACAATATACGAAGAGAGAAAGAAGATATGGGAAGAGAAGTAAAACGAATTACAGCAAATGTTCAAACTCTGGATAACGAAAGAGCCGATCTCGAAAGATTACATACGAATACATCTGACGAACTAAAAAGCTTGCAGAGTGAACTCGAACGTGTTCAAAATGCTTATAATGAGTTGCGTAAAAACAGAGACACATTAGAAGGTGAATTAAATTGTGCTCAGCGTGATGCTGAAAGATGTTTAAGAGAGTCTGAACGTTGTCAACGTTGTATTGATACACTTGAGGAACGTTTATCAGCTGAGCGCGAAGAAGGAACAAATTTACGAAGCGCCCTTCAGAAAGCCAAATTAGAAGCTGAGATCAAAGCCAAAGAATTAGCAGACATTCAAGACGCTCTATCAAGAGCTGAAACACGCAAGGCAGAACAGGAAGCTGAAATAGTTCGACTACGATCAGATGAAGCGGCACTAGGTGAACATTTGTCCAAGTGCCAGGTATATTCTTTGCCTAAAACTTTTTTATTGACTACGTAACAATGTTGAAAATCATGGAGGATCTTGGTTATGACTCAACATCTAAAAGTTTACGCTATAATAACGATAAGCATACCAAATATTTAAATTCTGGACACGAAATAAAATTCATATGCAACACATTAATATTTGATCGTTTGACTTTTAAAAAGTTAAGCTAAACTCATGTTTTAATGAAACGAAAATGTGAACTGCATATCTTTCAGAATTTTCTGCTTTTGTAAATAATCAGAACTAATTGAATTAACACCAATTCTTAATCTAATATACTCTTTAGTTGAGGTGGTAAGAAATTATATGTACTAATATCTAACAGCACTAAATCCAAATGCTTCATTTGAAGCATTTAGTCACTTTGATAAATTTCGATAGTGTACTAAAAAGACGAAGATTATCAAAACTATGTAATATATATTACCGCAATACATCTCAAACAATCTGATCACACATATACTTGCTAAGAACATTTATATATAAAAATAATAGGTCAACTAGACTAGAAATGGAAGGTAAGAGAAGACATGAATAATAAAGAAAATAATGTCAAAGTAATCTGAAACCTCATCACTCTGGATATAAGCTAATATTACCAGGGTAGGTTTAAGGTGAGAACAAACCATTTTTGAATACACAAAGGAAGTTTGAATTTTCGTATGACTAAAGGTTCAATAAACTTTAATATACGTCCGTTCACATTTTTGTACAACACAAAAACCGAGTTAAGATCAATCTTATGACCTGTTTGAACTATGTATTTGGCAATAATTCAGTATATCTCATATCATGGTCTAATTATTTCCATAAAAATTAATTCTTTATTTTAAACAACAAGCTACTCAAAGTCCATAACACTACTCTGATTAAATTATGTAGCCTATAAACTACATTTATTTACATGTGGTCATACACCATAAATTATGAAAGGCTAAATAAGTCAATAATATTTTCAAGTAACAATAATTGTTATTATCATTATTATTATCATTGTTATAACAAACATTCACCATTATATCGATTAAAAGTACTTCATCAACTTCTAGGGAGTTTATTTATTTCACGTAAGTATAAATGAATGTAAACGCCAAGGGGTAAAAGCGCTACTAGCCCTAAGGATTACATCTTATTATGTTTTATTGAAACTAAACTACCAATTTTCTTTATTAGTTCATAGTATTAAAAATTATTTTCTACTTGTTTTAGTACAAGCATTTGCATTTCTCTGTACTTTAACTAAAAGAATTAAATTATATAAAATACCCTATTTAACAGTCTTGATTATTAGTTATTACAAACAGTGTTAAAAATGTTACCATTAATAACATTAATTTTAGTTTCTAGAACTTCTCATCATAATATAGCAACCATCTATTTCAGGTAAAATTTAAATAATGAAATGTTAAATTTTGCCATTTTAGTTTAGATTTAGAGGGGCTTCTTGTCTAAGGGTAAATAATTTTTAGACGCGACTTTATTTGCTTTATTACTGAGTTTCAAAATTTTGATTATTTAAGTTATGAGAATTTTCTTTACTTAAGTAGATATTTAATATTTTTCTAGCATATCCCTTCAATCTAATAAACTAATGTATCAATTCTAGTCAATATAATATTATTATTTTCTTTCAATTCTTACTAGGTGAAACGATTTTCACTTTAACAAAACAGTAATTCTGATTATACATGAACAATTAATTTCAGATTCATATGGTTAAAACGTCTGAAATGATTTGTGAAATATACTGGATTATCAAAAAGACTTTTATTTAGTATGCGTAAATGAGATTTTTTGAAAATCTACAATTACATCTGGCTAACCAGGTCGACTAGTTTCATTCATGTGCTTGTAAATTTGCTTGTCATCAGTAGATCTTGATATCATTTTCTGATTTGATGCATAAATGGTTCGATATTTGTCCTGACTCAGTTACTAACCTAGATTTCAAATGTTTAGTCAATACAGATAGGATATGACAGTGAGTAGCTGCAAGGGACTATTAAATCATTCAACTTATTTACGATTGAAGTAATCTTAATTGTATCATTATTCACTCGGGAAATAATTCAGTTGTCCACCAAAATTTCATCAACTTACCTTGCAGTTTTGTGATATAAACAGTGTTACATAAACTTAGTGAATCAATAGATAAACTAAAAGTATATTATAAAGGTATAGTGTTTGTGTGCATTGAATTATTACAATTTATGTTGTACTGTGCGCTTGAAATGTTTTTTTTGGTTTGAACTATTTTAAAATAAATATTATCCATCATGAGGATTAGTAAAGTGTCTTTGGGTACATTTAATTACTTTACTATTACACTCTAACATTTAACTGATTATGCTAAAATGACGAATGATAAGTATATCAAACTAAGTAGGTATCATTACCAAGGTTTGATTTGATAATTTCGAATAAATTGAGCATTGGGCTGATTGTTATAAATAAAAATAATATATTTGTAATATCCCAATGAGTAGAGGATTAGATTTTCTGACGTTTCGTGACTTAGTGTAAGCCACTTCTTCAGAGAATAAATAACAAAATTTAAACTTGGACTAATTTCAATTTGGTTGTTTATTCTCTGAAGAAGTGGCTTACACTAAGTCACGAAACGTCAGAAAATCTAATTCTCTACTCATTAGGATATTAAAAATACATTATTTTTAGTTATATATCAAACTAAGACTGAAATCCAAACGGCAATGTAAATGGCAAGTAAATGGTTCACTCTCAATATTCAGGCTTAGACTTAAGTCTCCACATTATTTATGTTAAAGAATAGTAAGGTTACAGTCACTCATCCCCGTCACATGTCTTAATGTTTCATGTTTTGAAGTCGGTTATTTCTTGTCTACAATTCTTTGATTTATATTTCCTCGCTGGCAAATAGGTAGGACTAAATGATTAGTACATTCATCTTCTATTCATTTTCTACTGTTTTACTGTTTACTTTTGACTAATGTTTTTAACAATCTTTTGCTATGTCTATTAAGATTAAAATTGAGACTATCGGTTATAAAACTAGACTGTTTAACTTAATGGCATTTGCCAGATTCATTTACTTTTCATAAATGATAGCCACATTGTAAACAAAACCCGACATGTATACAATTAACAGCTAATAATCTTTTTGGTATTACAGATAAAGCAGCTAGATACAATTTCTAAGTAAACCTAAACTATCATTTAATTAACCCTTTTTAGATGTTTTATTGAAAGTGTCCTTTTACAAATTATCACTGTACTGGAAGTTACATACAAACCGTTTCAGGTATCTATTTGCATTAACATATTTTTCACCTTCTTTTATTACTTTCGCAATGAAACCAAGACTTCATTAAATTAAACTAGTATTTTAATGAAAAAAACAACTGAAAGTAATGATATGTTGAGTTCCATTTACTTTGAAAGTGCACATTAACTGCTTAAGATATAAATATCATAAGTATGGATACGAAGGTTTTCGAAGAACATATCCATAACCAACCACTGTTTATTAAGTAATCACTCTGAAAGAAGTGGAATGACAAATCTATTTTGAAAATGCAAATTACACCCAGATTCATCCTAAGAAATTAATTCTTTGTAAATTTTAGAGTAAATTAGAAGAGGCCTCCAACAAGAGGTCAATTCTGCAGAGCCAATTAAGAAATCAGGAAGCGGAATACAACCAGCTAGCATCTGACTATCGAAATGCTGATGCAGATCGTTCTAGCCTGAAAGAAGAACTTATTCAAATGGAATCACAAAAAAATGAACTGATTTACGAAAAGAATAGCATTTCTCAATCTTTAACCATATCTGAAGCTGCTCGTGAAAGACTGGAAGAAGAAATCACCAGTCTGAACAGAGAAAAGTTAGAAATTACGGAGCAAGTAAGTTGGGGAATTTCTATCTATTTTGCGTTCTAAAATACTTATCTCTATTTTTATTTTGAGGTTTGTTCAATAGTTTTCTTGATATGACTTTGAAATATAAAGAGATAGTAGCAATAAAATTTGATTGCGGTATTCTCTAACTCAGTTATAATCTTACGACACCGGATTTGAAACTTTAAAAATTAAGTATACGGATAGCAATAGGTTGGTTCAAATTTCAAAAAAATCAGTTTCCCAAATGACCATAACCCAATTCTCAATTTCAATTTATTAAAACCGAAAACTAACGAATTTCAAAGGTTGATATTAAATGGAGTAAGCTATGATCTACCCCTTCAGAAAATTCACATTCATATTCAATGTTATAACATAAAATGCTACTTACGTTTCATCTTGTTTAAATCTTACCACTGACAATTAAGGACTGCAATTGATCAGATTCTTATTGACATACGTGCATCCTGTGAGGATTGATTCGATATTGCCTTAAGTCACTAACTTTATGAACCGAGATGGATAGTGGCCAACAGTGGAGTTCACGATACACGTTTTGCTCTATTTGGAGCTCGTCAGTTGAATGTACCTGGAATCCAGAGCTGATGTTCTCTCTGGGACTCTGACCCAGAATCTTTCTCTTCATACACCATCACATCATCCATCTGTGCTTTAAATCCAAGTGATTTAGTGGCAATATCGAGACGATGTGCACGGGATGCACACATGCCAATAAGAGACAGATCGATTACACTCAAAACTATCAATGGTAAGATTCAAACAACTAATATATAAATTAAACTTCGTCCCATTGCTTAAGCCATTAGCTATATTGAACTCAGTGGTTAAGTGGACAACGGAGTGACGTTTGAAGTGGACAGAATTCTGGGATGAACATCAATTGTGGAATCCACGTACATCCAACTGACGAGTCCTAAGTGGAACAAAACGTGTATCCCGGATTCCACGGCTAGTCACCATTCGTCTTTGCTCAAATTTTTTACAGTCACTCATAATTTTTCTCCCATTCAGTTGAATAAAAATATTTTTCAAAATATGTACTAAATTTCAAAGAAATTATTCTACTGAAGAACATCTGTTAATATCTTTAGTGTGAATTCATCTTCATAAACCTTCTGGTTATCTAAAGATGTAACACTGATGGTTACTATCAACCGTAAAACTGTCTTAGATAATATGGAATGAAGAGATATCATTCAACAATGAGGAAAATGGACCATTATGTTGATAACATAATCAAATGACTTTTTGAAAACTCTATTTGGAAATAAAAATCACGATTTCACTAATACCGACAATTGACAGTTAACATAGTAATTTTAAAACGGTTATTTTCGAAAAATTTGATAAAAGACTTTCGTATTTTTATAGCTGAATGCTGTTACAAGACAAAAAAATGGTCTCACTAATGAACTTATCCAAAAGAATAGAGATTATGAACGAATTCGTGATGTCATCGGACGTCTGAATAGAGAAAAAGAAGACTTGACAAAAGAGAAAGGTGAACTTTCGACACAAGTCACTGCACTTAGTAGAGAATTAAATCAAACTTGCGATTTACTTGTAGCGAGTAAAAAAGAGCATGAAAATTTAGACGCTGATTACTATCAAGCCAAGCAACAAATAATGCAATTGGAAACTAAAAGAGATTTATTAGAAAATGAGTTACAAGAGCAAAATCTAAAACGAGAAAATTTGTTGGGTAAGTTTTGATTTTAAAAAGGCGAGTTCACGTTTTTATCGATTCGGCGTAACATTTCATGGTGTTACTTTTACTCACAATGTAACATCTTGACACTGGTTTTATCCTCAGTGTAAGATTTTAATCAGTACCATATTGGTTTTATATTTTCAATTGTAGCTTATTCAGATGCCTGCTCAATGGTTTAGAGGTTAGGTGCTTCTGTTTGATATCGAAGTTCCTGAGTTTGGATCCCGCGTTAGGGGACGCGAATGCGCATTGCTGAAGAGTTTCATACTAGGACGCCTATCCAGTACTCCCAAGTTTCGAATGGTAGTCTAACTTAGATCTGTTCACAATTTCAACGAAGCCAACATGTTTATAGGAATTAAGTGTGAATTTCGTTCAGGATGACAAGTGTCAGCTTTTGTCAGCGATGAAAATCATATATCTTGGATTATTCCATGTGAACTTCCTGTGCGTTTTACAGCAACGCTATGTATGTTTTCATTTCTGCGATGCTTACTAACTATTCATCAAAAGCTTATAAAATCAGTATCCGAATGAACATATTTGGTTTAATCATGATATGATATTGGATGACTTGTTTTGGTGTCGTGTTTTGTAAAGTCAATAAATCTTTAATTATACCAGTCTTTGTTTTTTTACATCACGTCATGGGGATTACACTAGTTTTTGTTTCCAAGGATACGCAGTTGGACTGAGAACACAACAGAATCGCCACGTACATAATAGAAGCGACACTATGCAACTAATTTTCTTCAATACCATTCGCTATTTTTATGCTTAGACTTATGCAATGCAGTTTTGAGCAATGTTTCAAAAATTCTTTAATGAGTCATATGATAATAAATATAACTTTTACTTTAGAGCATAATTTGCCAATGATTGTTAGCCATTAGCATTATTCCTGATTTTGACACTACTTTAGCTAAAAGTGCTATCATAATTTTTTAACTGTAGACATTTTAACAGAACAGAACTATTTAAGGTTGTTTGCCTATACTGAAATTTACAATAATCACATAATTTAATGGCACATATTGCATCAAAGGTGTTATTTGTTTAATATCGTGACAATAATAATATCCTGATAGGTAAATTTCACAAATTTGCTTTACAGTATTTCCAATTAAAGTTTAAATGTTTGTTTTATTATATCTTCACATATTACTAGTTGAACTGAAACGCACTCAGGCCGACCTTCAACACGAAATTGAACGTGGACTTCAGGCTCGTGAGCAAGCCTCACAGGCTTTACAGAAACGTGAAGATGAATTGCAAGGGGCGATGAAACTATCAAAAGAGGCAGCTGAAATCGAAATATCCAGATTGAGAAATCAGTTGACTGAATGTAGACAATTGTCTGATAAGGAGCTAAGGGATCTTACACTGAATCATAAAGAAGCTATTAAAGACCTTATAAATCAGAGCGAACAAGATAAACAAGATTTCGATAATGAAGTAAGAAATTTGGTCGCTTTTTATGGAAATTTTGTCTACTTTCCATTGAACTGACATATATTGGTTAGTACAGATATTCGAAATAAATTTACAAGTATATAGGGAAGAATTATGAACTGTAATCAAACCCTAATTGACAATCACCTATAAAATAGAATAACATCATTTGATGTAGTGTTGTTTTTGACTTCCCTAGCTTGAAATCTATTCTAATACGCCCATTCATTATCAATAGTTATCGAGAAACCAGACAATATCAGAAGTATAGTGAATCAATTGAGCAAATTTTATATATGAAATATTTTGCAGTAAATTGGTCATATGAAAAGAAAAAAGCAACTGAATGAATATGAATCGCATACACATAAGATTATGACAATTTCAAACAAAAACAAACTTTTGACTAACAATTTATTGGTTAATTCAAATGTTTCGAATTCGTACATAAAAATTTATTCTGTTAAGAATTTGTAAGGTGTATCGACATTAGGAAAGTAAAGTTCATTTGATTAACTCAAATTCTTGACAAAAAGGTGATTATATTTATTCTTCTTGGATAGTTATTTTCACATAACAAGTATAGAAATTTCGGTTAGTTTTATTTTATGAACCAATGATCTGTTAGTAAATTTTGTTCGAAAATTAAATGACTATGTCTGTTTGAATTATTGTTTGCAATATAATGAGAAAAAAAAGAATTTCCGAGAAAAATATAGATCAAACAGTCTATTTGGTCTCATAGTTTAATAGTATTTTACATGTAAAAAGCATTTAATGCTATACAATTTACTAATTTTCGTCAATACTTATATTTTTGAGAACTCTATTTGGATTATGCAAAACAAAAAAACTAAAAATAATACCAGACTACTGTTGACTTAAGAAACATCAAGTATATGGGGTCTGTTCACTAACTAATTTTTAGAGTGCCAAAATTGGGGTTTAGGTCAGAACTAGTCTAGACACCAAAGATATCATTTACAAAGTCAATCTACAATGTGATTGCTAAAGTAAATACTGATTATAAAACCATAAAAATAAGCAACTTCCATCTTGAAGACCTCTTTTAAAGGTTAGCACGAAATCAACCATTGTTTCACTATTCAGATTTCTTGTCTATTCAAATTTGTCTAACTGTAATGCTAATTGATTCAACCGAAATATTTGTGTATTCTGTGTATTGGCTTTGAAATGTAATTCCCGAAGTCCTAGTAAGTAACCATGACCAATGAAGTAAACTAGTTTAAGGCTGACTAGACAATAATGTTTTGGTAGATAAATTAGCAAGTGATTCAGGTTAAATTTATTTGTACTATTGTATTATTTGTATTATATAAACCTCTTCAAACCACTCAGCTAAACAGGTTATTGTCAAAACCTTGAAACTTTATTGTTTATATGTCTTATCGTTTTTGTAATGTTGCGTTTGTCTTTGCTTAAGTTTTTTCGTATGATCCTGACTAAAGACTAACCTGTTCTTGAATCAATGTATCGATGATTCGCAAATGATTTTAACTTATTATTTTACTGGTATGAAGTAAGCTCCACATTTCAATGAACTGAAATACTCTAATATTTTCACTCTTGATTATTGGTATATGGCAGTCTGAAATCTGGGAAAATCCTATATTTCATTAAACGAAAAGCTGGTAGTCTACTTTCAAAATGATATTTTTTAAAAGGCCTTTATTGTCTATCAAACAATTAGATCTTAAATTTCTATTTTCGTGATGGCAAAATTACAGATTTTATTTAATAAGTCGGTTCTCTCCTATTCTTTATTATCGACAATAGTGGTTGATTGTAAGAACAAAATCTTAAGTCCTTTTTATACTGCAAAATGATTTGATTTGTCTATCAGATTGTAAATTTGACTGATGAGATTTTTAACCCTTAAAGAGCGTAAGCCCCATCAAGATTTCAACTAGGTCTTATTGGTGAGAGTCAACCTGCTAACTACTTCCAATATTTAAAACCAAAGAATAGAGTACGCAATTTCCTTAAGTTAGTAATCACATTGTGCCTTGATCGATGGAATTCAATTAACATCAAGGGTCAGACAAATATGACATTACTTCTTATTCAACGATTAAACAGTGCATCTTAAGATATATCAGTATTCTGAACAATCCTCATTACAAAGTTATCAAGTGAATATTATCAAGATCGTTTAACGACTTGAAATGTTTTTTATTCCTATAAAAATGTAAAATATATTTTAACTTTCATTCATTAATTTACAGTTATTGAATGTATTCATAAAAAATTATTTTTGCAAACGATTAAAATTTTTCACAAAATAAACATATTTTTCCTAAATGTATACATAATTACAGCTCATGAAACTTCAAAGGGAAAAAGATGAAATAACTTTGGCATATGAAGCAGAGAAACAAAATTTATTATCGTTCAATGAACAAGAGCGAGTTAACTTAAATGAACGATTAAATCATTCATTACAACAAATTAAAGGATTAGAATCAGAAATAGATAGAATTAAACGCGAAGCTTCAGCTCGTCATGAACGTGATGATATGGCCAAAGCCGATTTGACACGGGAACTGAAAGAATTCCGTCAACACTATGAAGAGACATGGTAATTGAATATGTTGTTCAGATTCCACTTGTTTTAGAAATATAACAAAATTCAGCTTATTTACATGGAATAATCAAGTGGTAGAATTTACAATTAAATTGTCCGATTTTCTGAGTTTGTTGAATTTTAAATTGTCTTCGGAATAATAACAATCGATAGTTGAAACAATTTCATAAATTTAATTTTTCCGAATTTAAGCTAGTAATTACAAAATTAGTTAAATGTTTCATTTTTCTCTATTGTTACTTACAGTGGTGGTAAACACCACTAAACTCACAGATATGTACGCACTTTATTTATACACTTGTCATGGATTACATTTTTGGGATTACTAGAGTCATTTTCACCATCATAACCATTAAACTAGGATTTATATTCGAGAATATAACAGACTTTAATAAATACTGAATATTATGATTTTTTGTTACAGTTATGGCTAATAGCAAATATGAAATTAGATTAAGCCAACTATAAGATATTACATCATATGCTAAATAAGTACGTCTTAAGGTTTCTTGAGTAGTAGTTAAAATATTTGTCTCTTACGTTTTAACAACTTTTTACGATTTTAACAGTCGTCACGGAGCAGAATATTATAAAAGCTTGAAATAATATATGTTTAGTGTTGGTTGTTATCTATTCTGCATAAGATTGTTATTCACTTCTATTAAATAAATTTATCTAAAATATTATCATCATTTTATAGTGCATTACATGAACAGGCAATGAAGAGCGCTCAAGCAAAATCTGCTCAGCTAGCTACTGAAAGAGATCTAGCAAGAAATGAAGTGAACGAATTAAAAATGCAAATAAATTTAATTGAAGAAGTTCGAGATGGATTACAAAAAAATATCTCAGAAATATCTCGTCGTTTAAAAGAAACAGATGAAGCTCGAGAAACACTACGTAAAGAAATTATTGACTTACGTAGAACTCTAGCTGAAACGCAGCGTGACCGCGACAATCAGGAAGAAGCCAAAGAGAATCTCGTGAAACGAGTTCAGTCTCTAGAGACTGAGCGTGTTGAACAAAATAGAGTACTAACTGACCAACAACAACAAATCTCTGGTAATTAATCTTAATCTAACAACAAGTTGTGGTTTATTTTTGTTTATGATTATTCTTTCAAAACATCCGAGTCAGGGTAATCCGGCTTGCGATTTTTATTGACTTTGTTGATGATCGTTGATGAAGGTAGGAGTTGAGTCCCACTTGGAAGCATACTATTTGTGCCTGGGTTGCATTCTTGGAGCTCTATTAATTGATCAACACAGCTTGATTGATTATCAGGAGTTAGTTTTATCTCAGTCACCAAGTTTTCTGTCTCAATTCAAATCGCGTTGAGTAAAGTAAAATGAACAACGAACCAGTTTTTAACTGATTAATCCGTAAAAGCTAGAATAAAAAGCTTGTAGAGCATTGAAAAAATAAATTTGGAAATTAATGTAAGAAAATATGAAATTACAAACTATACACACATTTAATGAAATAAACACTACAAAATAAATATTAGTTTATATAAAAAGTTTTGTTACTTGAACATGTAAAATCTATAGTATCTAAACTGAATATTTTTCACAATGGGCCTGGCCAGAAATCGCAGTACTGAGTGACCGAATACTGTTAGTTGATGGGTGAATTGAAGAAGATAAACATTTTAGCAAAAGTCTTAAAGAATAATTGGCATCTGACAATTAGTGAAAATAGAAATGGGAACTTAAAAGTACGTGGCAAACAAGACATATTTTCAAGTAGAAGGTTCTCCTAACGTTTTCGGTATGAAAGTCACAACATTATAGATAAAAAACGTTTATACAGTAATTGAAAGATGTACAGAATACAAATGTAGTGTTAAACCATAGTGCTATTAGCTATTACAAACTCAACTGACAATACGACATTGTCGATGAAGTTCGGAATCTCTATCATAACAGGCGGAAATTTGAAATAAATCTCAAACCCACGAGTTTTACATTTCACGTGATGCATGCTTTGTGTGATTTTTGGATGTCACGAGCTCGGATCCCAGAGCAACCTGAGTTCTGTTTATTTAAAATCCTAACCCTAGCAACGATAATTCGAATTCGTCTGAAGTAGTAAAGTAGCTGGATATATATATATATATATATATATATATATATATATATATATATATATATGTCTTCGCGAACCTAAACCATTTTCCATATCCCAGATTTTCCACTGATCTATCTTAGTATTGTTATAATCCGAAATCATGACGTATTTCCTAATACTTGAATCAAGTCTACAATTTGAAATATATATACTGAAATAACTTAGCTTAGTGACAACCGTTTGAATAAATGTACTTTCTGATTTACGCCTATAAGTCATGACAAGCCTAAAAATTATAAATTGACGAAGATCAGATTAAACTGGTCAATTATCGAGTCTCGATTACGGAAATACTAAAAGAACCCTTTCATTTCAAAAATGCTATTCAAAGTAGTTTTTACGAAGATTTACCACTTGGGTAACAACTAGACAGTGGAGATGAAATAAATTTTCTGTTGAAAAGCTGTTGGTTTAATCCTCTGTTATGTAAAGTGAATTTCTTGTCTAAATTTTAACTCAAGTTCATTAAAATGGATAGTGACTTATCTGGCAATACAAATGTAAAATCGATGTTAAAAACCACCTCAATTTCGTTTTCAATTAGTCATTTGACAGTTAACCTTTTTATGATAGTTCGGATGTATACTTCGTATACAAGCAGAAATCTTTTCACTCTAGAATACGTTCAGACATTTACGTTGTGTTTTCACAGAAATAAATTTGGTTCAATTTTATCCATCAAGTAACCCCTTTGTATTTGTGATTTCAGTATTTTATTTGTTAATAAATTTATCATAACACTGTTGGTAGGGATTGACAAATGGAATACAAGAAGTATATTATATCAAAAGTAAACTATAGTTATCATATAATGTAGACATAATCAATCAATTGAATTTCTTCAAACAATAAGCAACCGATAAGTTAACGTTACCTATATAGTGGTGAGATAACAGCCTACTAAGTCTCAGTTACTTCTCTTTGATATACTAAGGCAAATTTGAGGAAACCGATTGAATCAATCGATGTTTCAGTTACTAATGACAGGGTGTAATAAACTTCAAAGTTTAATTTAGTAAAGAACAGCAATGTAATGACTTTGTAAATCAGTTTATTTATAACATTAAATCTACTTAAAAGTCTTTTATTTAAAGATATGATCAGGAGTTCAAGACAACTATTATATTCAAATATGATAGCTTCAAAACTAAAATTGAGAACATCTGACGTATTAGTGAGTATAATGGATTGGTGCTTATAATTAGCAACCCAACCCAGAACAGCATGAGGAAAGTAGATTGTGTGACGAAGGAAAGATAGACAGTCTAGCAATCATCACGTTTTTCTGAGCATGAGCTGACAATTTAGCACTAGACGTTATGGTGTAGGTTTATCGTGTCCACTTTTTATTATTGTGCGTTGGAAAGATCGTGATTGTTTGAAAACAGTTTTGCCTAACTCTTAAACATGTTATACCAACGATGACCCTTTTATTCCAATTAAATCCGCTACTTCAATGTCACTGGTACTGATATAGGCTAGTACTTAAACTATTTTATAAGTCGTCAGTCTCTAATACCATTGGTCCAAAAAGATCCAAGTGATCCCAAACCAAAGCACTCTATGGCACCTGAATATCGGACGGAAGTACTTTTCCGTAAACATAGTTTCCACTGAAATGCAAACTAACCCACAAACGTTTGTATAAGGAAGACGTGAGAGTATTATTTTTCAGACTGATATTTCACGTAACGAAAAAAGTTATGCATTATATTTCTGTCGCAGCTTTTGAAGAACAAAAATGTGCCGATAGCAAGGAGATTGGTGAGTTGCGCTCAAGTGTTCGCGAAAGTGAGAAAGGACGTCTTGATGTCCGTCGTGATCTTCAAGAAGTTAGACGTCAACTTAAGGATATGCAATCAGATCATGAAAGGCAGACTAAGGATTTAATGGAAATGCAGTCTAGAATAACACGGGAGGAAGAAAAAAATGAAGAATTACGTCAAGAAAATACCGTCTTGAAACAACGTAATGGTGAAATAGACGCTTCTCGGTAAGAACTAACTACTAAAATCTACTGAGTAGCATGACAAAATCACTGACATTTCGAACTAATTCAAAATAATTTGGTCTTTTGAATGACTTGATTGATTCGTTTGTTGTCGAAAACTGGAACATGATACTAAATCACAAGAAATTTATCGTTAAGTGACTTTAAATGATCATATAAATCTCATTGATCCAATAACCTATTTAACATGTAATGAAGAACAGTAATGTAGAGGTTCAGGGATTTTAATAATTTGCATGATAAACAATAAAGAAAATTAATTCACTTCTGAAATAGTTGACCTCCACAGTAAGCACGTGAGTTCAACTATGTTTATTGAACACAAATCACATTTTGAGAAAGCGCTTTCCAATGGCGTCACTAAATTCAGTTTACAACCTTATGAAATAAACCAACATTCTCCTAAACTTAATGAGTAATCTTATCATAGCATTCATTTTTGACGTTTATAAAAAATGAAGCAATATAAATGTATCAGTCATTTTCCCGTTCAGATAAGTCGAGTATGCTCGTACTTGTACAAGATATTTTGTATATCGTATCAGTCTTTTCAAGCGGTACCAAAACCACTCAAGAATAACCAAATTTAAAACTGTATAATCATATTTTTTTAATGAAAAATGAGATTTTCCCTGAGAATCTGTTTACCACTCATAGAACCGTGAAAACAGTGGTAAAAGATCATTTGATCACTGCCTAGAAGTGAATACATTCTATTTTAAATGATCAAATAAAGGAATCATGATTATTTAATTGTTTAATAAAGTTCACCGATCACAATCAAATCTATAATGGGAACTAAACAAGCGACGAGCAGTAAAATGTTTCAGTTCAGTAATAATACTAGTGTTTGAATCAGGGTTTAGTCCTAATAGTAACATTCACACATAGGCATGCAAATAAATCCGGGTGAAGAGTCCCAAAACGGACGAAATGCCTTGCCTTAACTTCAAACCTAGCTATTAGTCAATGCAGTAAAATAAATTGCTATAGCTATATATATTTTAATAGAATCCTTGTTTTCCTAAGTTCGAAATGGTATAAAATTATTCCGTCATGATTTTTTAAAGCTTTAGTCTCTCTCAGCATCATTCTAGCGAAAAGTCGTTTCTATAAATCTTTCTTATTATGAACGAACTTAAAGTTATTCATTTGAAAGAAAGACTCCATAATTCTAGAATACTTTATGATGTTTTAGTTCTTAAGTGGTAAAAATGATGATTATTTGTTCAATATAGTTCTAAGCTACGGAAAGAGTTATCCACTAGTGAAAGAAAACTATGTGATCTACAAGAGCTATTATCTAGTAGAGAACGAGAATACAAACAAGCAGCAGATCATGCAAACTGCGAATATCGTCGTCTAACGGACACAAGAAATCAATTAGAAGTGACCGCTGAGGCTCTGAGTAATGACTTGGCGGAAGTAAGATTGGCTTTAAGTGGAGCTGAGGGTCGCGTGAGTACTTTGGAAGCTCAGTTGGCAAAAAGTGAATCGATACGAAGAGATTTTGCATATAAGCTGGCATGTATACATAGTTCCCTTCGTAGACTTATTGGCTATAACCAAGGTCGCCATCGATCGAAAACTCCATCAAGAATCAGAGATTCAACTTCCGTTTCACCTGTTCGTAAACTAAAAACAGGAACAAGTCCAATAAATAGTCGTGATAACTCTCCTGTAAAAGGTAAGGATATATCTTTTAAAGTATCATTTTTCATAACTATTTAAACACCTTTATAAAATTTCCCTACTCTACAGATATTAAATCGATAATACGGACTGAAATATTTTAATTTATTATTAATTTATGGTTATTTTTCGCTGTTAACATTTAGGAAAGAATCACTTAATCTCTATTAGGATATAGAGACCTTGAACGGATGCATCAGTATTATCAACATTAGCTAATGCATAACCTTCACTCCTCTCCAATGACAAAATTGGGCTCTTTCGTTAATATGCATAACCCACTAAATCCGAAGTAGGATAGACGTCACGTCCTGGATTACGCTACTGAGGAATCTCGAAAGCATCTTCATAGTTTATTTAAACAGCTGTCAAGTTGCTTACTGTGTTTAAATAAAAATTTAAAAGGAGTTAAACACTTATTACTGATAAAGAATTATATGCTGAATAAATTATGAATGATCTTCCCATATAAACATATATAGATATAACATTTTCGGTCTGATTGGCGCAAGTCGACTTAATATACCAAAGCATTTAGCTACTTTTAATGCTAGTTAGTAAATAATACATATGTCCTCAGTAAAAGCTCTTCAGTTAGAATATTGTTCCGATCAATTAGTTCGACTATATCAATACTGCGTCCAAGAGAGATGACTAAGTTAGACACTATATTGGTCTTATCTCGTTACAAAATATTTGTTGGTGACGTTACTCACGAAGTTCAGCCGACGTTAACAAATATTAATGTGTGGTTATTTTATCTTATGTTGGGTCGATTTAATGAGGACTAAATTCAACGTCTTATTTAAATCGCGCAGCAATAAGTTTTCTTTGATAAAGTTCATAGAAATACTTTGGTAACCTTTAAATATGCTTTTTTGAAGGAGCATAAATTGAATTTTCTTCAGTTTATTCTTCATTTACATTAGGAAAATATCATGAGCATTCTGATCGAGAACATTAGTTAATTAAATTCAATTTTGAGGCAAAACTCTGTTTTTATTTAAAATAAATTGTGGAAGTTGGTGAATATTATTTGGCCTTCCTATATTTGTACTTATGATTCCTATTTTAGATGGTGTTAGTGATTCTAAATTGTCTAACGTATCAAGAGTATATCCTAGTGATGGATCGTTCAATGCATCTGACCTAGATCCTGAAGCAGTTCGTTTGGCTTTACGCGACTTTGTACAGAAATATTCCTCAGTAAAACGAGATTACGAAGATGCGCAAGCACAAATCACATCTCTTCATTCTCGATTAAACGAACAAGCTGAACAGACTGAACAGTGGGCTCGAAGACTTCACCAACTTCAGCAGGCTTTGTGTGAAGCTGAAGCAGGTAATTAAGAGATTAATAAATTTTCTAGCGATAATTACCACTTTTGTTACGTACTCTTTGCACTCTTTTTTGCAACAGAATACTAGGTATAAGTAATTATAAAAACTAATAAATTCTTTTGAATTGCTTGGTCATCACACAACTGGTTTTTTAAATTGCCTTCAGTTAAATTACAAGATAATTTATGGGAATTATACCAAATTTTCGAAGAACTACAGATCAGTAGACCATCCATAAAATGTAGTCATAAAATATCAATGTCAGTGAATTTGACCTCCAATAAACATACTTTTATTCAACGACTTGACAATATAAGGCTTTTTCTGTAGGTCTACCACTCAAATACTCAATAAACCAACTGAGTAGTACTGAAATTAAAGCTTATATAAACGTTACGCCTACTGTCCTTAGACATATCTCATGTTATGAAGATGAATAAAAGTCTCATAGTTTTCACAAGATAATGCAAATCGAAAAAATGTTTATGGTATATCGCTTACAGAATTATAATGATAAAAAATATTACAACATTTATTCTTCACAGTTTATTTGGACGGTGCATTCCTCATTGTAAAAATTATGAAGCATCAATCAATCATCACATAACTCGCCACTTATAGATCTGCATTTGTTTCGTGAATATTAAATTGTTTGTTTAATTTTTATCTGTAGATAGTAGTTTTCATTTGAGAGTTTGCATTTTTAATTCATATATATTGACTGCTTGACTCTTACCATTGACAATTAAGGACTGCAATTGATCAGATTCTTATTGACATACGTGCATCCTGTGAGGATTGATTCGATATTGCCTTAAGTCACTAACCTTATGAACCGAGATGGATAGTGGCCAACAGTGGAGTTCACGATACACGTTTTGCTCTATTTGGAGCTCGTCAGTTGAATGTACCTGGAATCCAGAGCTGATGTTCTCTCTGGGACTCTGACCCAGAATCTTTCTCTTCATACACCATCACATCATCCATCTGTGCTTCAAATCCAAGTGATTTAGTGGCAATATCGAGACGATGTGCACGGGATGCACACATGCCAATAAGAGACAGATCGATTACACTCAAAACTATCAATGGTAAGATTCAAACAACTAATATATAAATTAAACTTCGTCCCATTGCTTAAGCCATTAGCTATATTGAACTCAGTGGTTAAGTGGACAACGGGGTGACGTTTGAAGTGGACAGAATTCTGGGATGAACATCAATTGTGGAATCCACGTACATCCAACTGACGAGTCCTAAGTGGAACAAAACGTGTATCCCGGATTCCACTGCTAGCCAACATCCCTCTCTTTCCAAAATTTTTGTACTTTTGTTTGGCGAACTAATTAAGCTTACATCAAGTTCTACGTAATCCATGTTGTTCAATGATTTTGCTAGTATTGTAGCGAACGACAAAACACAGATGGGTACAACCGAATGTATCTTATTAACACAAAATTACAGAATCTCATAGTAAAATCTTAAAACCAAACAATGCTTCATCTGCGAAATGCTAACCAATTGTCTCAAATTTTATTGTTCCTTCGCTTCCACACCAATCATTGTCTGTTCTCATCCTCTTCTCTTTGATCTTAATCCTCTTCCGCCAGACATTTCACATACATACTTCATATATCTGTCAACACCAGTAACACACACCATAATAATAATAAAAACTATCAAATGCAATAAACTACATGAAAATAATGCTATACTTTGATTAGTTTCAACTAGATTCTTGAATTATTTATCTATAATCTTTTTATAAACTCACTATACAAATATACAGTTTTGCATATAGCTACTTTCAACAGCAAATGAATTCGTAATTAGGTCATACAAACCCATTGTAGCAGCAATTTAAGTCACCAAAGCCAATACTTCAAGTCGGTCGGATCAAAGTAGTTGCTTTACTGAAATATCGTACCAGTTTTAAAGAATCAAGTAGAATTAAATCTTATATGGACATCGTCATATATGCCTCCGCAGTTCCGAAAAGTGATATAAAAATGTGGGATTGTTATTAACAAAGTTAGATTGAATAATTTTTATTATCGCTAAAGTTAATGAGAAATAGTTTGTTATCCGTAAAAAGATATTTTTTACCACGCAGTTATGACTGCTCACAAAAACATAAAACGAAGTCAAGCACCGATTTTTGATGAATAATCTCGGTTCCAGTAAACGTTAATTGATGTTGTGTAAATAAAACACGAAGATGTACAGTGCATTTGAAAAAATAAAGAACACGAAATAATTTACCACAGGTTTATAATGAGCTTGTCAATTTTAATTTATAATTTCAATTTATTGATACTTTTACTTTCTTACATATGTTGTAAAATATTAAATAGATAAGAAAGGAGTAGACGGAAGATTATCTACTACTCAAACTGCTCTTATGCTTCAAGAAGAAACCTTACGACAAAATGAACGTGACAGAAAAATAATGGCAGATAAAATAAGTCAACTAGAAAGACAGATATCTGCCATAGAAAATGAGAGACATGAGGATCAGGTATGAAATATATTGGTTAAGAGTTCTATCAAATGCTAATCATTGTACTAATATTATTTGACGTGGCTTGAAGATAAGAATGATTTGCAAATTCAAAACGTTTTCTAACAGAAAATTTTGAGTTGTAAATCCCTAAAATTATTAGCCGTATTCTCAGCAGCAACTCATTCAAACCACGCTACCCTCGTTTTAAGATCAGTTTATCTCTCCTGAAGTTTAGCAAAGGTAGATGGAAAGAAAACGGCACACAGAGGCTTAAAACATATCATCGTTTCAGCCAAACAGTCTAATGATTTTAAAAACTAACAAAAGTCGTCTAAGGTCATTATTATATAAGTAATTTTACTTTCACAAATGCCAACCAAAACAAATTATCAAAAAACAGAATTGCTCTCACAGACCTAAATGATTGACTTTTGTAGGATTTCAATTACACAAGACAAGATTTATTTCACTATGCCGTCTGGAGCAATTAAAAATATTAAAAAAAATAAAGTTTATATTATTCACTGAAAATTTAATGCAACAATTAGAATGTAGTAGAAACACTTATGTACGTAAATAATTCAAGTCGACAACGACAGTATTAATACACGTATGTAATGATTTCTGAAGAAAGTCAAGTCAAACTTTAGGATTGTACATATTAAAACAAACTATCAACAAATCAGTGACAAATTTACCAGTATCTCAGAACATGCTTATTTTACTTAAACTAATTACTTTGAAGTGTTGCTTCATTATAGACACCAGAAAATATTGAAAACATATAACTTTTAACTTCTAGTATTAAATTACATTTATGTAAACGTTTGTGACTTAAGGAAAAAATAATGCATTTACGTCAAACTGGAGCACGCTTTGAAGAGGAGCGACGTCTCAGTCGAAGAGCTTTGGATGATGCTGAAAATCACATCACACAACTTGAAGTAACTAGACGATCATTAGAAGGTGAATTGCAACGACTCAAGATGTGCATCAGTGATAAGGAAGCTGAGAATCAAATGCTTGAGGACAGATGTCAAAACCTTTGCAAACAAATACAGGTGAGATGATCATAATAACCCCCTATACAATATAAACATCTGATACCCCACCTTGGTTGCTTTCTCTTAGCATTGGAATACACTCTAAAAGAGCGATCATTTCATTTATCTGTTCGATGATATTGAAAACAATGTAGACATTTGAAAATACCTTATCCTCAATACCTATCTCTTGATGATTACAAAATGTACAATACGTTATTTGAGTACGTAGTACTCTACAGATGATTTCATTTAATGATAATATTTATCAAAAGATTCTTTTAATACTGCCCTTTATTTTCACACTTATTTATCTCTACATTGTCGAAGTAATTTTCTAGTATTTTTACACAGATAAAAATTTCATTTTCGTCCAATGCTAAGAATCAAGTTAAATTCACTTGGTATTGTTTTACTTGAATCTTCCCATTGATGTTTAGGGCTGCAACTGATCAGTCTCTTATTGGCATATGTGCATACTGTGCGTATTACCTCGATATTGCATCTCAGAGTTGATGTTCACTCTGGGACAGGTACATCCATCTGACGAGTCCCAAATAGGACGAAACGTGCGTCCTGGATCCCACTGCTAGTTACTATCCGTCTTTGCTTATAAGACTCAAGTTGTTAAGATTACTAGTAGAAAGTGTGTTTTTAATACCTGTCATCATTAGTTATTTACAAAACTAACTATTCATTAGTTATTCGCTTTTGAAATATCCTTTACATACGACTAATAATCAACCAACACAGAATGGGTTAAATTAACCTAAAAATGAAACAGAGAATGACTCACTTTTCATTTGGCATGTATAAAGTTAGTCCATAAACAATGGATACAAACACATTTTGTGAAAATTTATTTTTGATTTAAAACTTATCTTTATTACCTGTTGAAAACTGTTAAGCTATACCAATTATATTACTTATCATAAAATATATTGAAAATGTTTGAGGTTTCATCCAAACAAACATTATTTGAGTATTCATTGAAAGAGATTACTGGTGTGTTTTTTTTTAATTTACAGTGCTCTTATAGAATTTCGTTTCAGTATTAAATTCAAAATATTGCATTATTTATATAGACACAGTTCTGAGCTTCCAGTTTGAAATATGGCTATCGATATCTTTAAAACTTATCTAGGTTTTTGGACGAGAAAAATAATTATACTCACTAATTAAATGACTACACGAAACATTTTGGAAGTCGTACACTTAGTGAATTGGAACTCAACAGTCCACATTATCAGATTTTAGCTAATTCCTAACATGGTACATATATGAAATCCTACTCAAATCTAGATTTATCAGTCTTGTATTTGATTACGTATGAGGTCACTAGTGCATATTTTTTAGTACCGATAAATTAAGGCAAATCAATTATACTGTAGCCTATGATCTTCAAACATTTTTTCAATTAATATCAATCCATATTAATGACCATCGTCAAACGTAACGAATCTTCACAAACTACCCAAGCAAACAGATATTCTTAATGGACATTGAAGTGACGTTATAATTTACTGTAAATTTAGTAATTTTGAAAACTATCGATCAATGACTTTTGATTTACCGTTCTGAAGCTGTATAATTTCATTGAAATATAAAAACGTTTCGTGATGTTACCTGGAAGCAGTCGAAAGCGCATACTCATGCTTATTTTACACTCATTGGCATTAATTATTCTCAAGAATTTTCATAAAGTCTATATCATTAATAATGATAGACATAGGTATCATTACCAAGGTTAAACTTGATAATTTCAAATAACTGAGCATTGGGTAGATCGTTATAAATGAAAATAATATATATTTGTAATATCCCAATGAGTAGAAAAATTAGATTTTTCGACGTTTCATGTCTCCGTGTAAGCCACTTCTTCAGAGAATAAGTAACCAAATTATAATCAACCTAAGTTTAAATAGTACAAAAGAACAAAGCGCTAACTTGCCCAGACTTGTTTTTGATTGATCGCACATAATATTTTAGCGTCAGACATAATTTTTCTACTCATTGGGATATTACAAATATACTACTTTTATTTATAATGATAATCATAATTTTAAATATTATTTCTTACCTGATTTGTAGAATTTGGTCTGCTTTCGCAAATTATTCTGCCATAATTTCCGAATTTTTTTAACTATCAGCTATTTCTCTAGCACTGATTTTATTGAAATATTCTTATGGATACTTTTTTCACAGGATTTAGAATCGAAATCACAGTCATTACAACTGACAGTTGATCGTTTAAGTACAGCGTTATCTAAAACAGAAGAGTTAGAAAGTGCAAGCAAAGATAAAATCCAACAACTTAATTCAAGTCTTTCAGATCATAATCAAACCATATTAGAATTACAAGAACGTCTAGCGCATTTACAAAAAGCTCTAACGAATTCAGAACATGATAGACGAATAATACAAGTTTGTTTTTTATAATTACTAGTTAAACTATTCATAATTTCTGTTTACATAAAGTTAGTTTGTTTTTCGTATTTGATAAATCTTTTGACTGAACACAGGGATCAATTTTCTAAACTCTTTAGTGGCCCGAATATTCGATTTCAATTAGATCGTATAAATGACTGTTGTCAAAATATACATCCTGGCTATCGTCGTATATAATTATCGACTTAACTCGCGTTAGTGAATAAAGGAATCAAAATAAGTCAAATATGAGAAACGATTTCGAATACGTATATTTTGTACAATCATTGATTCAAGCAGACGATCAAAGGAACGGAGCGAAACGAAATAGTGCGCGGTGGAGAAGGCATGTGAGCCAAGTCCATTTAATCAAGCGTTAATCAATAATTATAGTCACACAAAAATAAGCTACAGACATGTGATGAGTAGGATAAGATGTACACACATATACGTTCATAAAAATCAGTTAGGGTTGACAAACGAATAATTAACAAGGGGAAAACGTGATTCAAGAGGGATGGATAAATCGATTTGTCCAGAAGCTAGAATAAGCTATATGGGCTTGACATAGGACTAGACACATTACACTCTTCTAATAACCCAGGCTAAAATCAACACGACAACTTGAACACGATAGAAAAGACGCTTTTCTCCAAGGTTGATTTATGTACAGAAAATTGAGGGTATTTATGGCATCTCAGATGGAAAATTCTGGAACCCTGCTAAACATAGTAGCAGGATAGGTAATCATCCAGTCAGAAATGCGACACGTAAGTCTTCGCTTTCCTGATATGTTTGAGACACTTCCATTCAATGTGGATTGGATAAAGTGTTTTCCAGCGTTTTCAAGGCCGCTCTGACCTTTTTTCGAGGAATACTCTGGATTTCTCCAACATTATTGAAGAAAAGTGCAATTTAAGATTCATAGTAAAAATCTGCCACAATGAAATTTGATTACAGTGGCACCATCTTTGAGATTATACAACTCGAAACGTACAGAAACAGTAATTCGAAATAAAACATTGTAATGACCAACTATATGTTCACGAAAAATAGTGAGTATAATGTAATGTAACTTATTTTTAATAAACTTCAGTGTAATTCCCTTTTTCTATCATATTTTCGTGACGTTTGTTCAAAACAATCAGTAACATGTAGTTTAAAAACTAAATTATATGCCGAAAGAATAACCGTTTGTTAGCATCATAATATAGATGGCTTTGGAAAAGTCTATGCCATGTGTTGAGTAAGAAACACCAATAATATTTTAGTGATAAAAAATTGAAAGTTCAGAACTCAGTTATTGAAACCGGAACAGGTAAGTTGGTCATAATGCAATCAAAAGTTTTACTTGAAGACTAGTTTATATAATTAAACAGTGGGATACTTAAATATTACTGAGAACTCTTGAGGTTTAATAGATTTTGGAATAAATGATAACGTTGTTAACAAACCATTCTTTCGTCGAGTAATTTTAAAAAAGCAAACTTGAGGGATTTTTCACGATTTCTCAGTTGACTAGAAATCGTTTCGAACACTTTTGGTTTTCTGAAAAGATTTGGAGGACAATAATTGGCATGGTCTAAAAGTTCTAGGATGATGTAAACTCAGCCTACATAGTAATCATATTTTAATTTTTATTTATTCAAATTTAGGAGCGATTAGATAATACACGTAGTGTGTTGCATGAACAAAAACATCAAAACCAACAGTCATGTGAAAGAATACAATCATTACAAAGTGAGTTGGCTGATGCTGAATTGCGTCGAGGAGAGCTTGAAAATCAAGTTCGTCAAACAAATAATACTTTGGATAAACGTCAAGAAAATGAACAAGAACTCAATAAACAACTTCAAACGGTAGGTTTAAACGAAATGTGACAAAGGTGTACACATCTCAGAAGTATACATTAATAAGTCATATATTTAATAATAATAAAGGAGAAAATATCATTCACAATGAGATAAGTATGCATCGCCCTCGTACCATTCCATTACCTTTAACAGTCACAATGCTAATAGAGTATGTTTAATACTATTTGACCGAAAAAACCGTACATGTTATATCTATATTTCGAACGGTTTACATAATGTAAAATATTTTTTTATTAAGCCGATAAGTAATAACTACAAATCCCTTGAATAATAATGAAAACTTAAGGCCATTGTTAGATAATGTATACAACCTGGATGGTAATCCTTACTTTATTATCATAGTTTATGTAGTAAAATCAAAAAAGCTTAATATTTATCCCAATACTTCAGTTATCATCTCTCAAATGGGCGAGTTTATTTGAAACAAGATGTACGAAATTCACAGCATGTAGGTTATTTTGTAGCTGCCACTAAAATATTAAAGACGAAATTTGATCGAGAGATACTTTTTCAACGAATTGATTGACTATTGAGGTTATGATTCCCACAATAATTTATCATACTTTTTGTGTGATTATGTAAAAACTGACCACTTTGTGATTATTTAAAATGATAATATACAGTAAATGGAAAATACATTTAGTTATGAAAACGAGGATTTGGTTCAATATATATATATCAGGAAGTTAAGCAAGCACCTTTTAAATTCACAGTTTAAGAAACTTCGTGTGTTCAGCAACGGCTTCAAGAAAACAGAGCTGGAAACGCTAATTTCGATAGACTTCTATCTGCTTTCTAAAGGACTTCAAACTATCAGTCTATTTTTGTTGGAAGTCCGAATGTTCACACGATGATCTATAATCGTGCTCATGCAACCACTCCTTACATTTATTTTACCATCCAATATAATGTTATTGGACCTTCTTGAACAAAATGTTTACCGAGAGACCATTATGTCTTACTTTATTAGAGCAGAAGCGATAAATACAGGTTGATAAGGTTGAATGCAATTGTTTGTTCGCTAATTTGTTGGTAAATAATGAACTACTGGAGAAATGATACTCAGGGTTCCAGTAATAGAATGTTCTTTTCTTGGCGTTTGCGATTACCACCTTGAAGATGTCGTCAAATATGGAACACATTCTGTTGTATAAAGATTTCAGATTCTCTGGAAGGTTTTGGCTTTATGTTTATATTGACAAATCTTAATGAACAAATATTTTTACGAGTCTAACGATTCAAGTTCGCCGAGTTTGCGAGGCAAGAGACATCATCAAATCCATTCATCTGCTGATGAGGACTTAGCTGCAGAACCCTGCCAGTTGACTGTTCCATATGATTTTTTTGTAAACGGATCTTCGTAACGCTCCATAAGGTGTTCTTTCTATTTTTGCATTATAAGAGTGAGAATTCAGCTCATTTCCTATTGTGATTTTATTCATTTATCAACTTATTCTTGTTGCTATATTCGATCATTAGTTGTTATCATCAATAATACATAGGTCTATTTTTATATGCTTAATAATAGTTGGTAAAAGATAACCAACAAAGGTAATGGAAAATTCAGTGAGGAAGATAAAAGATATGAAAAGCTTTTGAATGAATGAGATAAGCCAGTGATTGTCACTATTTTAAGAATAGCACTTACCAGATCACCTTCTAATGCAGCCTTCATAACCTTATTTAATAATATCTAATTACTGACCAATAACGTGCTCCCTAGACTTATACTTCGTATTATTTAAATTGATAAATCAGTGATAATATAAAGATACTAATGATCAGTTGTGATTAGCCCATGTATGTTATTTGAGACTAACAGCTTTGTATAACATTTCTATCACACACTACTTATGTTCAAAAAACATAAATTTCCCTTCCGGCTGAAAGGAGCAAAGTTGATTTAAGATATTAAGATAGTATGCTGAAAATAAAATAGCTCTTGTTATCGGAAATAAATAGAATCTAAAGCACTGAACAGTACAATTAGATCAGTCTTCCTTCTTATTACATAATAATAATAATAATAATAATAATAATAATAATAATAATAATAATAATAATAATGGCTTTATTGAGTATTATATGTTTAGTACAGTACGGAATTCCCCCCAGTATACATTTCAACAAGTTTTTCTTACTCTTTTTGTTCACAAAAAGTATATATACATATATGTGAAATATGTAAATAAAATAATATGGTGTTAAGTGAAATATTTGTAAAAACAAAAAATAAATATCTATAAAACTGTGAACTATCAATATGTGCAAGTATATAGGTTTTTTATTAAATCGGCTTTTACAAACTGTTCGTTGCATAATAGATGTGATAGATAAGGTATGGCAGAGGTTTTTCACTTTGCTTGCATGCTGGAGTTTGTACAGGAATAAAGATCTGAAGGAAGTGAATGTTTATTATCCGATAAAGTAACGCGTTCCAGCAGTTCCCAAAATTTCGAATGTTTGTCCGCAATCATATTAATAATAACATCAAAAGATTCACTATGTACCTTATTAATTGACTTCAACACTCTCTGCAACACGGTAAAATCGTTCTCAAAATTCCATGAAGGAATAATTAAGAACAAAAAAGGATAATAAGTATTATACAAACGTTCATAAATAGTGAAAGTAAATACTGAGTCATACCAAAAACATATAGCCTCTTTATATAATACGTCACCTAAAATCTTCTTCGATATTAGTAAACTTATAAGAAGACCAAGAGACATCAGAAAAAAAACACCAAAATATTCAGCATCTAACAGTTTTAATTGCAGAATCTCGAACAGTACAAACCTTGTGTGATTCAAACAGAGTATTTAGATGCTTTTCCTATCTCAAACCAAAGTTTGCAGTTTAACATGTCGAAGGATAAAGTGTAGAACTATTAAAAATGAACCATCAGGACAGATCATATCCTGATAATAATAAACATTGAATTCAGAAATTATATTTATTTTTGTAACACTTACTATTTTTATAGCTTTTAAAGGAAAGACAAGAACTATTTGACAGAGTGTCCTGTTTACAGCGCAATTTAACAGATGTTGAAAATATGCGTGATCACTTAATGAGATCAAGTACCCATCTAGAAAAAGATAGGCATAATCTTAAACGACATTTAGAAAAAGCCGAAAGAGAAAAACAACAAAACGAAGAAATTGTGAATAAGAATAATCTTGATCGTACGGAGTTAGAAATAACATTACGACGTCTGGAAGAAGAGAATTCAAATAGAAGAAAGCAGATTCAGTTCTTACAGGTAGGTTTTATCACTTTAGTTTATCATTAAATTTATTCCTCGAAATATATCTGCTGTAAAACGCAATAATTTACAGTTTTTCTCATTCCAAATACTATGATCTAATCAGATAGTTAAAATATCTTCAATTTCTAATTCTTATTCTTGATTTCATTCAAATGAGTAATCGAAATTTTCACTTTGCATTTTACGAGTTCAAAAACCTGTAATCTAAACAATTATATTATAATCTTCATACCGGGATAAGAAATGCTTAACTTTTTAGAAAACATCTGTATTATACCGTTATTTTAACTGAACTAGTATTGTCGAAAAAAAAACATATTTAATCAACAACTCAGTTACAAATAAAAATAAACGTGACTGATAAGGGGAGATTAATTCGGTGCCTAACTAATAAATGTCTTGAGCTCATTAGACTAACAGACATTGCCACAATATCAGCAAAAAGCGATAAACGTGAGATAACAATAATAGCACATAATGTTAAAGATTTTGCTCATCAGTAGTAATTACAATACAAGGCGAATAAGCAAAGTACTCTATATAGACTTCCAGTATATATGTATAAGTAATAAAACAATCAGAGCATGATTTTTAAGACCTAGTTCACATGATTAATCGATTCATAACTAGAACAAAAGCTTAATAAAAAATTTATATTGAAAATACTGAGTTTCTACCTGATGAAAATCACCTTATCAGTCAGTTGAGCGATAAAATATTTCGGTTTTTCAAATATATTTTTCATCAGCCATATGTAATAAAAAAGTTAAGACTATTACTATCCGTAGACTTTTTACCGCATGATTGACAGATTAATGTTTTGTCAAGAACTGTCTCAAACTAGTAACAACACTAACAAAATTCCACTCAAAATTTACACAGAATAAAGCAGAACAGTGAAAAAATGGAAGCGATTGTAAGTGTTCTTACAAATGAAATGAAATTTGTCTGCTTTTCATCACTGAAGTGACCTGAGACACAAATAAGATATAAATAAGGAAATGTACGTTTTACCTTCACACAATAACCAAATATGACGGTAATCGTTCTTAAAATTAACATTATAATGATTTTAACTAGTTCATCACATTGAAGTGAAATTATAGTGTGGTATGTGTTACTGATGTCGACAGATATAAGTAGTATGTATCATCAATCGAAAGTGAAATATCTGGCGGCAGAAGGTTAAGATCAAAGAGAAGACGATGAGAACAGACAATGATTGATGTGGAAGCGAAAGAACAATCAAATTTGAGACAATTGGTTAGCATTTCGCAGATGAAGTATTGTATGGTTTTCAGATTTTACTATGAGATTCTGTAATTTTGTGTTAAGAAAATACATTTGGGTGTACCCGTCTGTGTTCTCGTTCACTACACTAGTACTGCTTTTGGTCACAAATACTAAACGTGTTAATTAGTTAGGCAGTTATTAGTTTTGCAAAGAGGATTACCGTATATCTTTATAAAAATTGGTTTGTTTTTCATAAATCTTCATATGGGTTTTTTGAAATCATTGCTTAATAAATCTGATAACAATTGTTCATAGATGAGAGATTATTTTTCACCAACACTTTAAACTAGTAATGCATTTACGATGTCCTTATACTGCTACTTATACAAACTAACTGAAATACGTTAACTTTTGAAATAAGTTTAAAGTATCCCAGCTTGAAAACTTGGGAAAATGTAACACAACTCTAGCGTAAATTAAGTTGAAATTCCCAGTTTGTAATCAGCAACTAACGATGTGAAGACTATATGTTTGCATGTGACGTGCTTCAATCATATAGTCTCTAAAAATCGTGGTTGATATTTTATAGAAGGAACCAGGACATTAAACTTAGTATGATTTAATCAACAGTGTTGATCAACTGGATGAACGGCTCAGTAGACGTCCAACTTCGAAATCAACAGATCGGATTCCGTAAGGATCGGTCGTGCACAGACGAAATCGCGACGCTACGGATCATTATTGAACAATCAGTGTAACTCGTCACTATGCATCAACTTCATTGACTATGAGAAGGCGTTTGACAGTGTGGATAGGAGAATATTATGGGAACTTCTTCGACACTATGGTGTAAGTAGCCGGGAAAATCGCCAACACTGTACGGCATTCATATGACAGACTACACTACAAAGTCGTGCATGGAGGACAGCTGAAAGATGCATTTCAAGTGAGGACCGGAGTCAGACAAGGCTGCTTACTCTCGCCCTTTTTTCTTCTGGTGGCCGACTGGATTATGAAGACCTCGATATCTTAGGGAAAGCACGGAACAAAATGGACAGGTTGGATGCAACTAGACAATTTGGGCTTCGCAGATGACCTTGCCATCCTATCCCATATACATGAACAAATGTAGATGAAGACAACTAGTGTAGCAGCAGCCTCTGCATCATTAGGCCTCAACATACACAAAGGAACAAACAAAATCCTCAAATACAACACGGAAAACACCAACCCAATCACACTTGATCGAGAAACTCTGGACGATGTGGAATCTTTCACGTACCTGGGGAGCATCATTGATGAACAAGGAGGATCTGATACAGACGTAAAGGCAAGGATTGGCAAAGCAAAGGCCGCATTCCTACAACTGAAGAACATATGGAACTCAAAACAACTGTCTACAAACCAACATTAAAGTCACAATCTTCAATACCAACGTCAACACAGTCTTACTATATGGAGCTAAAACTTCGAGAACTACTACAAACATCATTGAAACTGTATGAGTATTTATAAACAATTGTCTACACAAGATACTCAGTGTCCGTTGACCGGGTACTATCAGCAATGACCTACTCTGACAGAGATCAAACCAACTTCCAGATGAATAGGAAATTAAGAAAAGACACTGGAAGTGGATGGGACATACATTGTGGAAATCACCAAACTGCATCACGAGGCATGCCCTCACTTGGAATCCTGAAGGGAGACGGAGAAGAGAAAGGCCGAAGAACACACTACGTCGGGAAACGGAAGCAAATATGAAAAGGATGAATAGCAACTGGAAAGGATTGCCGAGGACAGGGTTGGATGGAGAGTGCTGGTGGATGGCCTATACTCCTCCACGAGAGGTAACAGGCCCAAGTAAGTAAGTAATGATATACTCTGACTGTACTGATCGATTTTCCGATTCCATAGTCCTGTAGTATTGTTTCAATGGCAATAATGTCAGGTTTTAGGTGGAAAAGAGATTAGAAATTGTGTACATGTATGATTACTGTGTATGAACGTTTATTTTTATTCCTTTTGCTAATAAAACCTACGCATAATCATGAAAAGACTTAAGGTATTTTCGAAATCATCATCTGCATTATTCGTTAAAGAGCTTATCTAGCTATCGCTTAGTAAATCTAAAGCACCTCACCTACACTTGAGTCTTTATTCGTTTAGTTTCATTAAGTTATTAAATTGACTTATTTAACAGACAGTGTCGTTCAAACAATAACGATTTGCCTATATCTATAAATATTATCATATCTGTAGGATCTGTATGCCGAATTACGTGTTATACCCTACACACAACCCTCTTACTAGCTTAAATGTTTGTCGCTTAAATCACACGATGACTGGTTCGCTCTCTTATATATATATGTCATTCTTAAATTCGAATAATTCGTTCACATTCGCATTCTGTTCGTATTCTTTTTGCGTACTTCTGGCTTTGTGATCGGCGCTGTATAATAATAAACTATAGTCAACACTTTGTATTGTCTTCTGAAATTTATACACCGTCGTCCTTAAGAATTATTTCGAAGATATTCCACTACAAATCCTTTGATTGAATCTATAAAATTTATTTGTTATATGTGTAGCGTTAGTCGTTCACAAAAAACATACTATGGTACACATTTTTCATGGTTTTTGTCAACTTAAAATGCAGAAGTTACGTTAATCTTTTGGTAGTTCTTCTTACCTGATATCAAATAACAAGAATATTCTAATATGGGAAGATCTTCATGAAAGACCGGTAATTACAAAGTTAAAAATCCTTTCTTATAAGAATTTACATCTAAATTTGAACAAATAGTTTAACATTAGGCGCCAAGTTAATGCAAGACTTTAAAGAGGAAAATTATATTTATAGAAATCTGAAAGTTGGATCGCTGAGGTTTTTACAAATATAATTTTCCTTTTTAGTGTCATATCCTTCTTGTTATACAAGTAGCTAAAATTTAATCAGGTTGGTTTCATATATTTCACAAAATCGATAACTGTATCATTACTTAGATTGGATTCTCTACATTCCGAATACGTTATTAATTATTCAACAGTAATGGCTATGATTTAGTTTTGTTTGAAATATTATTAAATACAAGTAATTTATTAAGGGACAAACCTCGTCGTCGCTTCGCTCACTGATAAAAATCGATATAACTTGATCTGTTAGTTTATCGAATTTCGATCAGTCTTAGTTGGCATATGTGCGTCCTATGTGTGGATTGCCTCAATATATGTAGCCATTATGTCGAAAGTTTTCATAGGGTAAATAAAATATGGCTATCAGGGCAATTCACGACGCGGGTTTAGTCTTGTTACAATTCATCAGCTAGCCATATATGCATCCTAGATCCCAGTGTTAGCCATATTTCATTTATTCTATTGAAGAATCGTTATACTGTTTTTTAGATTTATGGTACAGAACAATTTAAATTCAACTCTTCATCAAATGACCAAATACATATTATAAAGATCAGATTAAGGAATAAAATTCACTAGCCATTTTAAAGAAATGATTCATATATAGATTATAACATAATAGCTTTAACTTAAACTGTGCTACCGAATAAGTTAATTATATCAAACAATTAACCTACTCAGTTAATCCTAAAACAGAATTTAACTTCAGCTATACACAGATAGTATTTATCTGTAGATAATTTATAAAACAGGTAGAAAAAGTATATTTCATTAATTTATTAATATTGCTCTTAACGCTTCTATTTAAATTGTAGTCCAAATTGGTTGAGATGGAACAAGCTCATGCTAAACACCTAAATGAACTAGCAAGTCGACATCGAGCAGAAAGTGAATTGGAACTAGAAAGACTGCGCTGTGGCAAAGCTCAAGCTGAACGTGCACTTGAAGCACGCGAACGCGCCCACAAACAGCGTGTTAGAGCTTTGGAAGATCAAGTAAGTATTGAAATAGACAGTTTTCCCAAATTATCCTTCAAGCAGAAAGATATTACATTGCTGGTGGTAATATACTTAACAGTCATTTAAAATTATCAATCTGTAGAAAAATTCATGCAACAAATCTTTGTGTAACTTACCGTGGCTATCACTTTATGAAAAAAACATTATCATTATGAATATATTTGATAATTTTGTTATTAATTAACTTAATGTCACTTTCTTAGTATAAAATATTTTTATAACTTCGTCTGATTCCTTAAAGTTTATTATCACTTTTTAAGAACTCATATTTTCACCAGCAGCTAGTTTCATCAAAATAATCAAATCGACGTTACTCTTTGAAATAAATTTAATAAGTAGTTTTTTGTTCTTAGGATTTGCAAAGTTGATCGTAAAAATGTTCGCGAATTGAGGAATTTGGTTTGCTTTCTCACACATTAACCTTCTAAGTTGCGTTAATTAGCATTATCATTTAGATATTGTATATACGCGATACTAATGCATTAAAAAATCACGCTGCCAAAATACTACTGTTCACCTACTGGATTTATAAATTTGAATCAACAACTACAATGTCTTACTAAAGCTTTCATATATTCACTTGTATTAAACAAAATGACAGTGTTTACTTAATCAAATTCATGAATATATTACTAACATCAATGTCTAAGGATTACTATGCACATTTAAAGCATATTTCTGAGCGCATCTGACAGAATATGAGTAAACTATGTAGAAACTTGAACTTGAAAAATCACTCAAATTTCACTACCAGATATTATTGAATCCACTAAAAGAATACTTCTGGAGCTGAAATACATATACATTTTAGAATTTGTATTGCATTAGTCGACATATGTAATCTGATTTATGGGATTTAAAACACTTGTTAATAAATCTGTACGTTAATTGGTCCTAAAAATAATTTCTTACAAAATAAATGATGCTAACTACTAAGGTGTAATGAGAAAATATTATCTTTGAAAATATGTAAAGAGTTGAGCCATTAAAATACAGAAATTTCCAAAAGAAATATTTCGAAGAAATACTACTGCCAACCGTCATCTTGTTGTTAGGCTTATTAAAATTTAAAGTATGTTTTTTTGGATTAATATGTTCAATTTCTGTTGGTCGAGTTTTGATTTTATGATAAAATCTGGTGTGTAATCTCTTTTTTATATATTGTCAGATGACTGTTCATCTCATTAAAGAGAATATAAAAAATTTATTAATCTCTGAATAACGACTTATTTACATAATTTCGATCCAACTGAATAACTAGAAAAAAATTAGCACATCAGATGTAGATGTAGCTTAGTATGTAGAGGTCATAACTATGAAACTTTATTTGATAGATTTTAATTTAATCAAAAATAAACACTTACATCATTCAGATGAATGAGATTTTTTGAAGTTTAACTTGATCTGTTAGTAATATTCGCCAGAAACTGGTCTCAGTTGGAGTATCATTAGAAATGAGAGTCCACTGGATAGCTGTATAGTCTTAGTATGGGGCTCCTTAACATTGTGCACCCACGATCCCACTAATAGTCTGTCTAAGGATCTCAGAACTAGCAGCGAACTGTTAGAACCACTGGGTCTGCTCCCACTGATACACACTTCCAGTTTCAATCAATTCGCGATATAGCATCGATTATATCTAGATTTTTAATGAGATCGTGTTACATTTCACTCACTAATTCTATACATACTTCAGTCTTCTGAAATTTCATTCCGAATGATGATAGTTATCATATTTTTAAAGCTATACCTAAACAGCTAGAATCACAAATCTTTTTCTTTTAAAGGTTGTACAGTTAAAAGTTAAGGTAGGTTAAAGCTAATTTGTTTCATTTTGTTCAATCAATTTAAAATGTGTTCATTGTCTTAAATAAGACAAACCTACATGTTGAAGTCGTTATCTATGCACAATATATTAATGTAACACTAATTAATTCGTAAAACACTTTCATACATATATTCCTATCATTGTATTAATCGAAGTTGCTAAAAATATTTATTTTTATTATGCACTTGCTCATATATGCATTTTTCACAAACATTTACATGAAAACTGACTAAACAATATAGTATGATTTCATATAGTTGTCTTTTTCTAAAAATTGATTCACTAAGTACTATTATATAACGCTGTATTTTGTTATCTATATCAATATAGAATTCTACATAAATAAAGTTTTCAATTTTTATTAATAATAACGAAAGATCCAGTTATCATACTGATATTGCTTTAAATAAAATGTTACCTTCATAAGATAAACTTAAGTTTAAGATAGAGTTAAGAGATCATGATAACTTATTTCAAATAAGTGATATTTTTGTTATATCGTAATGAGTAGAAAAATTGTATTTCAGAAGTTTGGTGACTTAATGTAAGCCATTTCTTCAGAGTAAGTAAATAAATAATTAACTTCCTACCTAATGCTCAATTTATTTGAAAATATCAAGTTCAACCTTAGCATTGATAACTATCAAGCGATATTTTTTCGTTTATTTTTTAAGTTTTAAGACTGGGCCTAGTTTATATGTATAATAAAGTTAACCATAAAATGAAAGATTTTAAGATTGACTTAATTGAAAACAGTGGATCATATTGAATAACTTTAAGAATTCACTGTTGATCTAGAACTTTGGATTATTCTGCAGAATTCATTTATGAAGGATTTATTCTGAAGATCTTGAATGAAATAGATGGATTGTGAAATATTCATCGTTTAGCAATACTACTGCAGATTAACATCTAGATAAAACTAAAAAAATATTTTATCCCACCATCCAATATCCCGAATAATTAAAAAATTGTTGCTTGAATAATTACAGTGAGTACAGTCATAAAATTTTTTAGATAACATATTCATAAAATTTACAACAAAATAACCTCAAAACTATAAATTTTACACACTTGTCTACATACAATAGTTTAATTAGATTTTGTTCGGAACACTGATGCCTAAATTTAATTAGAAATAAAATGAGACAAGTAAGCATTTCATGTTTAGAGAAATACAGTAACAGAAAACAGAAACTATTTGCCTGAACAGATAAAAAATTCAGATAGAATCTGTTGTTTAAAGATTAATACATTTGAAATTGAAGTTGAATATCCTCGTCTAAGAAAATCGAAATGGTCAAATGCAAAATCTATCCTTCTTCACTTATTCGTAATTTTATAATCTCCGATAATAGTCTATAATATATTCTCTAACTTGAATTAGTTATCTAAGTGTATAAGATCGAAGTTCATTTCCTTCAAGAAAATATACAGAATCTTGCCATTATTCAAATATTCTTAAAGTTTTCTGATTTAAAAACAAATCTAAACACATATGGAACTGCTTTTTCCCTTACTAAAACTCCAAGTAACTTCTTCACCATCTCAAAGACTTATTATTGCATTTTATAATGACATTAAAAATAATATTTACATTCTATTTTTTTTTTAGTTACTGAACTTGACACTTTATAAAAGTTGTATTTCGGGTAGATGATTTGCATAATATCGAAAAAATTGTAAGTTGAAATTTAATCACCATAATAATTGGGATTGAGATCACGTGCCGATCAATGTTAGATCACGAATTGGAAACCTGGAAGCATTGTACGGCCGTTTCGTCCTAGTATAGGACTTCTGATTAGTGAGTATCCACGATCACGTACGCGGGATTCGAGCCTAAGACCTTCCACCTCGCGCGCGAACGCCTAATCTCTAGACAACTGAGCCGGCGTCCAATTGTGTCAATGTCTAATTTCAACCAACCCAAGATGTTGAGTGACCATCTTTCGTTGTCTTCGGTGAGTAACTGCCTCACAACCGACATGGTTAAACTCTACTGGTCACGGCTTCTCCCTAGAACTCCAAGAATTAGTTAGTTAGGAATAGATGAAAATGACATCGGTTAGTATTTAGTGACGAAGAATTAAGAATTCGGTCCTATGTTGGACTCGTTGGTTAAGTATATCCACAGTTGTGCTGATATATTTTGGAATTTGAAGTGAGTATATACTACATCGGAAACAGACAGGTTAACTATTAAATTTATACCCATTTTATAATAATAACAATAATATTTACATTCTGATCCGGTTTTAGTTTTAGAATGTAAAAGCTGATGTTTCATTTGGTTGATTCGGTTGAGAAATTTTTTGTTCGAAAATTGAATTTATACTTTTCTTAAATTTTCATTTATACACTCGTCTTTTCAGCTAGCCTCACTTAAAGATCAATTGATAGTAGAAGCAAATAGACCACAGCAATTAATAAATAATCCAAATAAATTTCCAACAACTATTCGCCCTGAAATTCCATTGAATACATCATCTACTAACCGACGTTCAATAGAACGCAAATCTGGAGGACAAGGTGATTTATCATTGAAAGCATCATTATCAAGCGGTGATATACGTCGGCTAACAGATAACGGAAATACAGAAATTCGCAATACAGCAGGATCAAAATATTTAACAAGTAGTCGACCAAATAGACTTCCAAGACGATAATTAATTTACCTGATAAAAAAATATCTGTCATAGACTTTATGAACATAATACAATGTTAAATTTTAAAACTAGGTAAACAATGTTCATCAGGGATCAACTCAATCTTAAAATTAAAAAGAAAAAACAAAACAAGGATTATTTATCTCAATTTTTTGTCCTAATGTGTAAACTTTCTTCGTCTCTTGGAGTATATCCTTTTTTGTGTATTCATATTACTAGGTTTTCGTATGTGTTTATTTTAAGAAACATGCAAATTCACTTCTAAATTACTTTATACATATTATTTAGATTTCCAATTCTTTTTGAGAAGAAAAAAATGATTGAGAAATTATTAGTTATTAAAAATGCGGAACAATAGTATTCCTTTCTTTCAAATTTGATTTCATACAAACTTACAATCCAAAAAAATATAGAATGATAAATTCAAGAAATACTACAAATGATAATCAGATCACAATCATCATTATATATAAATATATAATTATATTGTTCATAAGTACAATATGTAACGAAATAATTATAAAGTATACTAATAAATATATATACATTTAAATACTCTTAATTTTTTCACAGTAGTGAATATACTTTAAAAATTGCTTTTCAAGCATATTTATAGCTTTCAACTAGGTATAAGAAATAGTGATTCGTATATGGTTATTCACCGTATATGTAAATTAGAACAATATATGCTTTAGAATTCTTGAAAGAATCGTTTATCTCATTCAAAAGTGACTTTTTGTAAAGAATATATGGGATCATACCAGTTTTAGCTTACGATAAACTAATCTGTTATATCTGTCACCCATTACTTACACTTGAAAACGAGAAACAACTACAATTAAGAACATCGAAAACAAGACGACTCTTGTGGAAAATACACTCATTTATGTATCTGTTATGACTTTAGGTTGCCAATTGTTATGGCTTTAAGTTTGCGGTCGTTTTTTTACCCCGTGTTATCGATCGATTACAGTGACACGTAAACACGAACGAACGGCCTACAGTTCTGATTGGTCCTGCTTCCCTGTCCAGCCCAGCCAGTTGAGTCCAGAACACAAGCCACAGCCTCGGAGATATGAATCATTATATTTCAAACATACTCTATTTATATACTAACCAAGCATACCACATCGTACCATAGAATAGAAAACAACATTTTGTACAATATTCAACAAGTGAACAGATATCGACCAATAGGAAATGTCCATTTAAAGTCCAAGGACACCATTGGACTTAACATGATAATTATTGGTCTATTCCTCCGCATCCACAACAGTGTCGAACATAGTTCAGGTTAATTTTATACAAACAATAGCTTATCTAGAATAAACATCACACTGAAGTAAATCAAAGTTATGCTGTACAATATATCATAACGAAAATAAAACAAATATTAATTAATTATATTATTGAACTAAAAAAGGAAGTAATTTTGAACAAGAATCACAGTGAGTTAAGAAAATGTGATTTCCTCGTTTATTCCGTTATAACACGATAAAATCTGATAGCTCCTTATGTAAAACCTAATTTACTTAGGCATGGAGTCAAAAAGACTACAGCGAAGGATACTATTCAATTCATATATCTGAAGGCTCGATGCCTAGTCTTTTCTATTACCACTACTGTTAAAACCTCTACCACTGTATGGTTTAATCCAATAAATTCATCTCTGCGCTAACGGAGTATGACAACGGGTGTATATACGTACCACGTTCTACGTCGCATTTAACTGACTGACTTCTCATTGACTTATTGTAGTACTTAAAATTCCTGTCACATTCATGATTGGATGTTTTGTCTATCTATGATATTGAATAACTTTTGTAGGCTTCAGAGTGCCTCTAAATGATGAACAGAATAAAACTAATTAGGGAAACCTTATAATTATTTCATTTAAAATCAATAAACGACTGTAAATATACAGAATCTAATTTTATGTCGAGGTATAGTTGAAATTTAAAAAGTATTGATTTAAATAGTTTCTGATTGTATAAGGTGAGGGTCTTCTGACTGGTTGCATCAATATAAGATTTTAAACCATTTAGTTCTTGCGAAAACTCTGACAGACTAACAAACTACACCGTCGAATTGTATCTAAGGTTGTAGGTTAGGTAGTATATCGTGATGTTAATTAAGAGTGGTTGAAGATAAATCCAAATTTAGCTGACTAAATAATTGAACGTCTGTTGTTGGAGTCATGTCACGGACGGTAGAGGTGAGAATGGATGGAAGGGACCATATTCTTATTTTCTGACCAGTAACTCTCATGACGTAGCCAGCAACCACTATTCTATTTCTATTCAAACATCAAGATCTCTCAGAACCTTGACGACACACCTAGGCATCTTCAAAGTTAACCGTGGACGTTGTTCCTAACTAATGTAATTTTGTTGCTGATTTGTTGTAGAACTTATTTATCTTTGGCAATTCCGGCCATTTATCTGATGCTCAGACCAGTTTACCGGGCGAGACGTTGCGATTATCCAGATTTAAAAGGCTGAAATTTAAAATAGAACCCTTAAATCTGTCTTCTATACACTTATGATCTCCACTTTCATTCATCAAGAATGACATGTAGCAAGTAATCTTGATTATTTCGAATATGACGGGTTTTAGGTCCATTATATAATCAACTGGTTAGTCAATGGTTCTTTTGGGACTAGTGACCAGTTTCATTCGGCCATTTTGGTCAACCGAGTTACTTTATTAGTCAATGGAGCCGATATGACAAGTCAGTAGAAATATTCTATCTTAGTATGATACGTGACCATACTCATGTTAATATTTTAACTACTTATCTACCGCAACATTGACGGTTAATACGTCAAACCATAGTTGTCAATGATAAACCTTTCTCTTAAACTCATAGTGATAAAACACTGAACTGGGGAACAATTTGATAGTTATACAATCGATGTCCTATTTATCTATAAATCAGTGATGCTAAATATCCAATCAATTTTATAGTCACTAAAGGGAGAACTAAGTTCAAGTCTTTCTCTGAATTAAAAAATTTCTATTCATATATGTTGTACTGTGCACCGGTACTACCCTAATGTACATCCAAGTATAATTGAAGATCTCGAACATGAACCAGTGGTTCATCACGAAAAACACGAATTACTTCCCAAATCTTTACACGTACACGAATACATGATTTAGTGCTAGGCAGTATAAAACTACAACTTCTTTCTTACTTATCGAGAACCATAAAAAATACACCAACATACTGAATATTACAAATATATTAAGGCTTTATTGTGGCATTTACACAAGAACGCTTGGAGTTGACTAGTTAACTAAATAGTTAACACAATTCCTAGTATTAACTTAACACAGTTCACTGACTATGATTACCAAGAACGAACAATATTTATGAAATGTGTTTTAAAAGCATGATTGATTATGTAAACTAAGTTTCTTCAAATTTCTGAACAAGAAATTACAGTTGCTATTATTGCTGACATCGATAAAACTACATTAATTTTGTAGTATGTTCTCACTTTCACCTTATGACTGTAGTCTGAATTCTACGGTTGGTTATTTTTCCGCCGAAGTAACAAATATAATCGAACCCGTGAACAATAGAAAAAAAACAGGAGTATATATATATATGAGTAATTAATTTTGCTGCTTTCGAATTTTTGATAAAAGAAAAATATGAAATAAAAACATGAGAATAGAAACCACCAGTGAGTCAGTAATACAGTAGAATGATGTAGTAATTTATGTTGCACAATAAGGACAATAGTCATAGTGATTATCAGTATTCATATGTCAAATTAATCACTATTCTTCAAAAGAAAAATAAACACTTTAGAAAAGCAAAAAATATTAATATTACTTAACTATGATAACAGTAGCAGTGAAGAGTAGTAATTGGAGCACTAACAAAGATAGACGTATATATGTATATATGACAACTTGAAAACTTTTTCTCTATCACTGGTTTAATTAACTAACCAGAGACATAATTCACAAAGAACGACAGAAATAGAAAAGCAGAAAAATTATTTTTCTTTAAAAATAATTTACGATTGATAAGGTGGAAAAAATGGATTTTGATTTTGAGATGTATTTGGTCATATTCCAATAACTATACAAATATTTATATTCATTTGAAACCTACTTAATATTGAAGAGATAAGAAAGAGTCCATATGTATCTATTTCACCATACAGTAAAATATACGTATACATGCAGTTAAACGTACAAACATCTACATATATACAGTTGGAATTATCACTTTCGTGAAGATAAACTTTTAACTTTTGAAATAAAATAATAAATTGTATCAATGATAATGGGAAAAAAGAGATTAACATGTACAAAAAAATCTGGAAATTGAAACAAGAAAATATAGAATAAATGAAACGTATGGGTTGATATAGATACATATAGATGTATATATATACATATACAATGCGCTTATAAAAAGCTTCCAGTTACAGATTACAAGGTCAAACTGATAAGTAGTATAACTGTGTTGTAAGTATAATATGAGAAATAGGTTAAGAAGAGCTGAAAAGTAACAAGATACGAAAAATCTACTACAGTAAGTAGTGGATAACTCTACATTTTAAAAGCGGATAACGGAGATTAAAAAAAGAAAGATAAACAAGAAAATGGAATAGAAAAGTAAAAGAAATACTGTCGGATCCGTCGTCCATACTATTTCATGCAGCATATACATAGACAATGAGAGAAAAAAGAACCAAGAAAATAGAATTAACTTAAAATCCTGTAATAGTAGTGATAATAATCAAGCACTGAAAACGACTTGTTTTCACGGCTGACCGAATATTTTCCCAAAAAGATTAGCTTTACAGTCAATACGAATAAAAACACTTTCGATGTATACACACAGTAACAAAAGGGCATTTGTGACAAAGTATCCAAGACTAAATAGAAAGACAATTACGATGAAGTGATCAATATAAATGACTGCATAAATTCTATCGATGAAGACGTCGTTTCCGAAATCGTTGGGAACTGGATGAAGTAGATGATTCTGTGACAGTGCAATTAGTACAGTCAGTATTACGTGTACGTGAAGATGACTTCGTAGTTCTATCTCTTAAATTAATTCCACTATTGTTTGTATCCGGATCCTCTGATGTGACACTAAAAGAGTCAGCTGAATTATTTGCATCTTGTGTGAAAGCATGTTCACGAGAGACACGCGGTCGTAAAGAACGTCTAGTATTGACTCGATCATCTGATTTAATTTGTCTTAATTTTACACCTGAAGAATTGGATCGAAGATTAGTTGACCGGGATGAATTGGATGATTGAGGAGATGAACCACATGATGAGCAGGATGCTAGTGTGACTGATGACACAGCTGAAGAAGCCAAACTACCCTCAACTATGCTATTCTCATCAATAGTTACAGATGACTTTTGACAACTATCTGTACATAAACTATTTGAAATAAGTAATGGGCATTGTAAAGTA